TATAAAATATATAATCTTATATTCATGGGTATTCTAAAAACTTAACGTGGATCATTCGTAAATCGACTGCCAGCAACTCGCAAGAATCGCTTGAAATTAAGTGAAACACAGACTAACATACGACCTTATATTGAATATAAGAATAATTTAAGTAAAAAGTACGTTGCAATTCGCAACTTGGTAGACCTTTTCATGTAAGAGACCAGTTGCAAATGAATAGGACCTTTTTAATATTAGATGTTTTTTTATAATAACTATTATGTGTTTTTAATAGTGGCAACAGTATGAAGAATCGGCACATTTGCTTTATCGAAAGACAGTAACAGTGCCATGCCCAAGAGTAACTGGCGACCCTTTACGTCAAGAGGCAAAATTAACGGCTAGCGGCGTGCTACCGCTGTCCAACCGCGACAATGATCTTTTCGAATGGAATAGTCACCTAACAATCCAGGATTTTTGTCACTAACCTTGTCGCTGGCTTGACCATTTCTAGCACTGATCGGCCAACTGAAGGAAATAGCTCGTCGCGTTTACGCTTTACTCCATTTGAGGCCGTGTCGCGACCATGATATTTGCATTGAAGATATACAGTTTCGGTGGAGTTCTGAACGTTGTAATGGGAACTAGTTGGTATGGATTTAAAAAAGACATAGAGAGTAGCTATTGCATATATAGCTAACGCACGTTGGCGTGTAGTATCTCCCAGTTCAATACAATTTGTTATAACGCAGAACAATCGGCTTATATTATTGGAGGGTAGCCATTGAAATCGAAAATAGAAACGAATGTGGTTTTACCGATGGTTTGACCTAGAGGTTAAAAGAAAAAATTTTTTAACATTTAGCAGAAACATATTCCCAGTCGAATTTTCGGCATGGTTCATTGTTGTAGAATTTGTTCGATTTTCTTGTACTTTAGATATAAACGAAAATTTATTTAATAGCATTTTCCTTAATAATTGTACTTCCTGAGTAATATTACTCTTAGATTCGCTTACCTTCTTTGATTCTGTTTTTTTATCGTGTTCTTTTTGTCTGTTTACGTAAAGCTTAAGCGTCTGAGACCATGAGCCACACTTCGAATTTGGTGCTATATAGGCTTTATGGCCAAAGCGTTCCACATCCATCTACTCTGAAGGCAGATTTGATTCTCGATCGATTTGTAAGTATGTGTAAGCGTGTGGTCACGGTTCAAGGTTTGATGCTTGTATTTTCGAAAAATCAAAAATAAAACTTTGTTTAATACCTTTTCATTCAGAAAAAACAATGCCGTGTACATATAATGTATACAGATGACACACCTCAAATTAACCTAGCCGCTACGTAATCTAATTTTTCTTGAAGAGAATTGTCGATTATTAAATTAATCAGGAAAAAACCCAAAAATAATATTCATATAAATTTATTTATCGGCATGCGGATACAAGTTAATCTATGGTTGCATAGATTCCCGTGTGTTAGCTATATGAAATTTATTATCTATATATATTTTTCGATCTAAAAAAGATCATTCTGCCTTGCAGCCAAGGCCTGGTATTGGACGAGGTCGACCTATCGTGGTGAGTTTTGCATTAAAAAAAATATTTGCTGAATTCATAATGGCTGGTAAGGGTATTGTAATATTTATTCATTACTATTATTATAGTCCATGTAAGATTTTTTGCTGCTAAATGTATTAATGTCCTTCTTCAAGGTGTAGATTTGTTTTATACCATCACATAAGCCCGATACCAAGTGAAGCTGATGCAAACCGTACTAGCTGGCTCATATTTTTAACATTGCAAGGCGATACAATATTAAAGTGGGTTAGCTCTATTTAAAAACCTGTTTTCACAACATTAAATTGGGATACTAGTGAATGGGTTTAATTCAGTCCAACGTAAGACGTAACATTCTGTTTTCACGGCTTCTGTTGCCCTTCAAGGACCTAAACCCCAAGGCGTGACTTACTAAAAGAAACTTGGTCAAGCTAGTTTTTCTGGCGCGTGTACATCATATCGAATATCCGCAACCATTATTCACACAGAAGTCCCAACTACAACATATCCTAACCTCCTCGGCTTAATTTTACTTTAATGTAGGTACAAAGCCAACGACTAAATCCAACACGAACTGTACGTCTCACACAAGATAGTGCTGACAGCTGGGATTCATCGCGGTGTAAATCAATTTTGGAGTCAGGGCTGTATTCAAAGGGACCGTGTGACGATACTAATAACGACCGACGGCTCAACAGGCCAAACTTGGGATATCCTAACCAAATATCAAGGCGGATGTACAGTTATCGTGCCGTACCTCTGAGCAACGTCCAATCACCAATGTAAGTCTTTGTCACGTGCACGAACATACAGAACACATACAACAGTGTTTCTGACCGATGATGGTGCAATCTGGGATGCAGCAAATAAAACGTTTGCATGTTACGTGTGTTATTGCAAAGGGGTGGGAGAGAAGCCTTAGAGAAAGACAACGAAGTTTTATTAATTCAGCTTATTGATTTATTGACTCTCGGAAGTAACGGCATAAGTGCAATTTTGTCTGCCGCAAGATTTGGCCGTGCTGACGGAGCAAACGTACTTAAATTTAATAAATACCTAAAAAAAGCATGTGTTCGAAAGTGTACTCGCGCGTAGAACATGTGGGAGACATGAACTTAAGTCTACTCATGCTGCATTTAATTTTTCAGATTGCAAAATTTCGCTGATATACATCTCAAGGACCCTGGAGAGGACGAATACGATGATGATGACAGTAGCTAGAAGCAATTCCTATAACACTGATAAGCAAAATATAATCCTTGTTCATATTTTGCGTCGTCAGACTATGGAAACTGCGTAGAACTCCCAAAATAAGCCTGCTGAACTCAATATAAGACTCGAGGATACACCAGTAGGTAAATCTACTGCGCCTTAATGCCAAACTCTGAGGGGCTGTAATGGACACGAGGCCAGCTTATAAACATGCTGATAAGTAAGGCAAAATCAATGTAATAAAATTAAGGAACAGAATTGGCAGCAGAGTTTAGCGTGAATTAAGCTGAACATGCCGATAAACTGCTGAAAGGCTGGTTTTGAACTGGTTTTGAACGAGGCTGGTTTGAAGGTACTGAACGGGTCAAGAAGGGGTTTTTTTTACTACGTGGCTAGTTATAATACATCGATCGTTTTTAACAGGAGGCAATGCAATAAAATACAGTTTGGCATACGAAAAACGAGATTATCTTCCTTCTTATATAGGTCTTCATATGTTATAATATCCTGATATGGATTCATTTTCATTGATTCAGGAAAGCAATGTATCAAACAAAAGATAGTGAAAAAGAAACAATCTATTGAAGTCTTATACGTGTCACCTAACAAACTTATCTACCTAATGAAATCTTTTTTGGAACATCAGATATTTACATTAACAGTTTTTGGCAAAATATAATCTATATCAACGTACATAATACGTTAATAATCACAGATCTTATTTTTATCATAAATTTCCCCGAAATTAAAATCCCGTCAGCCAATTCGTCAGCAGACGACTACATATTATTCACCGGTGGATTGTGACAAGCGGAGCAAAAACGAGCTAACCTCAAAATCTCGAGTTAAATATGACATCTGGTAACTGTTTTGTTTTTAGTTCATTTATGACGTTACCGTCCACTTTTCTTACTAAGACATTAACCGCGTTAACGGTAAAAACTTAATGAAAGCTGTCAAAGACAGAGAAATAAAGCATATCATCGCAGTTCGGCAAATTTTTTTCATAATATAGCTACCCACGAACCTGATTTTTATCTCAGCAGTTTTATGAAAACTAAATAGCTGCTAAAGAGTAAACCTTTATTTCTATGAAAATAGGTCAAGTTGTTTGACGGTGGGAAAACAATTATTTCTAGCTATATAGCATCATTCAGAAAAATGTTCAAATCGTTTTTATGCACTCAGGCTGGCGAGCAGTTCAGCACGACGTAATTCTTCTAAGAATTCATTTGCGGTTTCTTTTTGTACGAAACGGTCAGATAACTCTAGTGGATTAAAAAAAATACTATTATTATTATATTTTCTTTGATCCATCAAAGCCTATCATCATTCATAGATAATCTCTGCGGGCGCTCTGATAGTATACACTGGACGTGAAAAATTTACATATATGATATTTTAGAAATATACTTGATAAATTTACTAACTGACATTGCATTGGCATTTTTGTATCATGTCCGGCGAAAATATAGATTGTGGGATTCGTTTTGTGAAGCTATATAGAACGCCTCAGAGCAATTTAACTTTACATGATACACGATTAGAAGAAAAAGCAAATAATCATCGGTTACTATAACGGTTATATAATCGGTTGTCAACGGTTATAACCGGTTGCAGATAGAGTACAGCTGTTATCCTGCTGCAAAGATATGCAAACTCCATTCTTGTCATTGTTCTTTTAAGAAAAGGATGTTAAATGAGTACAAAACCCAATAAGTTGGCGTAAAATCTAACTAATTGTAAATATAATTACGTCAAACACTTTTCTAGTTGCTTTTGTTAAACTGAGCTAGGTATTTCAGTCTACGCACAAACTACTCTATTGAGGAGGCTGAAATTTCGTCGTGAATTTATGACATTCGAAATGGATGTTCGTGGTTCTCCCTAGGCTAGTGTATATGGTGTAGGACTACAACTAGTTCTTATCGTGTTCCTGTCGTTATTCATTTGTAATATAATGAAAATGATAAACATTTATGAGTACGATAAGTGTTACTTCATCTCTTTCTACCAAAGGATCGTTGGTTATAAAATTTAACTTTGTCAAACTTTCGGTATTTCAGAAACACGCACTCGCCAGAAATCTGGTAAATTGATTAAATGGATTTTTGAATTTACTCCAGGGAAGTAAATTAAAAAAACAGCTATATAAACCAGATAGGCGTTATTATTATTACCGTTTTGCTCATCCCCTCTCTAAAACTAAGTTGCAGTTCTCAAGTCAGTATGTTGATTTCTGGGCCAATATAATCTTGGGTGTATATGCCATCGATTGTTCATTTTACACAAAAATAGGATTAACAAACTTCTCAGCGGAATCCGCTTCCATGACCCGGAGAGCCGATTAATTTAGCTTCGCATTTAACTGAATAGATATTCGTAGCGGGTTTGTTTTATCTTAAAATGGCAAATGATAAACGGGAGAGACGTTAGGACAAACTTCTGCGCAAGAAGAGGACCTTACTAAGCTGGAGTGATCATAGCGGGTATTTACATTATACAGCCAAATTTATTGAATATCTGGTGCAGCTGTAATTTCAGCTACGGTATCTTCAAAACCTGTGAAAGACTGCTCCGAGAGAAACATATATTCAAAGCGCAGACAACCCACGAAATAAAACTTTTCGAATACATAAATTTCAAGTTATCATTCGACGTGGACTACTTTAAAGGGACAAATCAATGCACAAATGCCTATACATATACCTTTAGTAATGTAACAATTTAAGTCTCAAGTCGCACCTGATTCAAAGCATAGTCGGCACATAAAAACGCAATAGGAATTTCCTAAGTTTTTGTTTGAAAGAACATCAAAGGAGGCACTTTCTCTTTTGAAGTTTTTCTCAGATAAAGCGGAAGTAGTACAGTGCGTTACTGCATTGAATAACTCAACTTAGATAAATTTCATTTGTCAATATTTGGTTTTCGCTCTTCAAAGTTCACCAAATTGTACGTTACAAATATAAAAAAATGAATAGGTTGCGATATAAAGCTGATAATTATTTCCTAAATGCGTCGAAAACCTTATTTATCGCTTATTATCCACCTAAGAATTCTACTGTCAATAAATTTCGAAAAAGAATCGAATTGACTCTAAATCGTTTTTCCCGGCTGCATAGTTTCGCCCATAGCTTTGTCAGATGGTAAATAGGCAAATACCAAAAAATAATAAGCATTCGAAAAATACAGCTGAGAACTGTTAAATAATTTGTATTTATTTGCCTATTAAAGTAGAACTTACAACAAATATCGTCAATATGATCTTTACGCTCCTAAACTAAGAACGCACCTATAAGCCATTGTTGACACACTAAGCCTTATGTTATCCTAATGAACAAAACGTAAAATTGGCTCTTATATATTCTCTTGCTTCCCCTTTAATTGAATTATTCTTATCTCACATATATGTATATGGATGTTTTAATCTGTCTATGGATATATATATATATATATATATATATATATATATATATATATATTTATATCTTGATTCAGCGAACATCCACTCTTGCACACGAAACTATACGATATGTGCCTTGCTCATAGTTAGGCAGATAGAGTATAGCATTACTGTAATTCCCAGTCTTCACTAGAATTACAATGCAATCATCTACGTAACATTGCACATCGAAGCCCATACTGTGGTTCATATAATCTTTGTGATCACATATCGTCAACATGACTAGCCGATATTCGTTTTTGTTGCCCAATAAAATCAAATCAAATAAATACATACCTTAAAAACCATTTATAGGACTTCCGACTACCCTAGTTGTTATATGGTGTTGTTATTGGATCAATGGTTTCTTCAACAGATTAAGCTTCCAAACCTAACTTATAGAGGAAGTCATCTATAAGAAATAGCTTCTGGTTGGCCTCCTCGATCTCAGAAAAGCTTTGCACATTGGCGCTGATATGATATCGAATATCATCAATAATCGCAATCGAATCCGTTTCTTGGCGTCCCTTCACTTCTTTTGCGTCCTCAGTAACTTGCTGTCGAAAGTCTTCATCTAGCAAAAAGTGGTCGAGATTTTGCGCCATAAAGGCAACGCACTGGTCCTCGAGTCGAGCTAGTTGAAATATGCGCGAACACCGGAATAATGATACCGCGTTATCTAAATCGAGATTATCAGCCATGAACGCACCAACGAAACTCTTAAGTCCCGTTAGAAGGAATTTATCGGCAGCCAGTAGGACGTCGAAAGCGTTAGTACCGGTCAGACGGTCTGTGACATCCCGATAAACATACTCATGGATACAGGCAAAGACTTCTGTACTAGCGTTCGTTATGCTCACCAAGGGAATGTTGCCATCGACCATTGCCGTCTCTTTGAAATGGTCCCGTAATAGAGCTGCAAAATACTCCGATCGTTGGCAGTAGAACATTTTATGTGCAAAGAAGTGCACTCCGCCGACGAGAAAACATACATCGGCATAATGTATAGACCGAGTCTTTTTGGAACCAAACGGAAGTTCCACAAGATCCTTTCGAAGATATTCGTCGGCAAGAACCGCAAACGAGTCTGCCAGCTCGGTACAGCCGAGCTCCGGCTCAATAGTAATATGACGTACCATTTTGAGGTACAGTGACCTTTCACACTCGTACTTGTCAAGCTCGTCAAGAAGTTTATCCACAAGATTTGTCATAAGCAGACGTTTTGCTACTTCCTGCATTTCGGTCAATTTATCATCATCAAGTAACATTCGCATTCGCCCCGTATAGATGAACTCTTTTAAACAGAGCATCAACTCGCCCGAATTGAAGTCAACCGTCAGAGTTGTACAGGAGGGATTCTGTGAGAGGACGTCACAAAACCTTGGTACGCGGCTAGCTAGCACGCATTTGTGACACTTTAGTTCCATGCCATCGAGCGCTACCATGGTGATATCGGTAAACTCTGTTGACTCAAAGCATTTACGTAAGAACTCATCGTACGTATGCCGCCGCATGATCCGCGATGTGACCATCTTCGCTGAACGCAATAGATTACGGATGTCGTCAGTAAGAGCGCCGTAAATGCAACGTTCCCCATCGAACGTGTTTGCTTCGCAGCGCGCCCCATTGGCCAGCATATATTGGACGAGCTCCTTGAAGCCGCAGTAGCAAGCGTAATAAAGCGGGGTCGAATCCCATTTGTCGCGAACATTTAATGACATCTCTTTTTTCTCAACCAGATATCGCACCTTCTCGATATCTCCTCGACGGCACGCCTGGAACAATTCATGTAGATCCATTGCTGAGGTGCAAGTACCAGCTAGAAAGAACGCGAACAGACCAATGGGAAACTGGTTGTTACTTGTTCAATGAACATACTAGGGATCACATCGTACACCTATCTAGAGAATCTATCTATCTAATCTAGAGAAATAAGCGAATGGCCACAATACATTGCCTTCTGCAATGCATTCGACAGCTGGTACGTCAATAGTTAGCTCTTATTCAATATATTCTAACTTAACTGCCTCAATAGCGTGCACTCAGACCGTATATTAACATGTACGCGTATTTTGTAAAATTTCTGTGCAGTTCTATTATGGAACGTTTAGATTATCATAATTATATACACTTTAAAATATATTTAAGCGCCCATATCTCTAGAAGTGTAATTTTTGATAACTAGGGCAGCAACCAGATATATTCATAACCTACCTAAAATAAAAAAAAAACTACCTAAAATAAGATATATTTGTATATTCTGAATGTACGAGTATGTACCACTAATTTGAAATAATGACAGGTGTACTCAAGAAATTACTTCTGCGTAGGTCCTAGGAAAGCATGCGTGGCATATAATACTCCAATAAGTCTAGATCAATATACAATCTATACCAAACCAGATTTAAAGTGCTCAGTTAATTTCAGCTAATTTCTTCAACCTGATTCCTTCAACATGGATACACAAGCCACAACACACTTTGTACTGTTTTATGTCAGATATAAAACAACAGATCGACTCTCATACGCACACCTGTACATAATCCACGAAATCGGCGCGGCGAATCCAATTCTCACGGTAATGATCGAATGCACAAAATTAAACGTGCACACTTTATTGCTTGTCTATGAAGTATGGGTAGCTGTGGGCACTCATATCTAAAACTGCTTTGTGCGAAACGATCCAAACAACATCCTTTTAAGCAGAAGACAATTTTCGCGCGCTTGAAATAAATTAGCGGATAATTTCGTTTCTCATATGATCAAAATGTGACAGTTCACCCGTTCAACAGCTGTGTGTTTTACCTGAGAACATGTAGTCTTATATCTGAAGTCGAGTAATCAGCTGGGTTCACGGAGGAAGCAACTTCCGAATGTTTGGACAGTCCGGGATCTGTAAATTGAAACTACGTAGTACTTCATAGTACACCTGGCTAGCCAATCTTCCGCGAACCCTGATAGACTGTTATTTTCGTATTGGCAGAATTTTAGTAGTGGCCATTTAGCCATTTAGCCAGTTTTTATTAATGTACTGTTTCGACGGACGTTAACTGACGGAACGATATTAAGTGTTCCACGTTACGTCTTCCAAAGTTGATGTGTCAATTGAGTGTGGAATGGTGAAGTTTTCCCGCTTTTTGGAGATGTTCTAGTTGAGGCGACTCTGTTCAGGTTTTACGGTAAGACTCAGTGATGTCTGCGGATTTGTCGTCCTTAGCTGTATTAACATCAATCTTAAAGTACCGTAATTGATGGCTGCATAGCGAACTTAGAATTTCACAATATATAACAATTGCACATATCGGCGGCCGATCGTATCGTAAACGATTGGATGTTTGCTTTTTATATTTAATCATTGCATCTTCTATTTCGATCGTTCTAGCAGATATTTCTCCGGACTATTTCAATGAGAGCTTTGAACAGCTTGCTAATGGCCGTTCCTTTGGTTTGTCAAGGCGTTCTTTTATCCATAGTGGCTATTTTATATCAGAACTTCCGTTAACTAACACAGCGTCTAGCCATAGCTAGCTGTCAACGAAATCTGTCGATGACATTTTTGCTACACCTATGTTAATATAAGCATCAAGTTAAAGGAAATGGAGAAGTCGTACACGAAGGCCCATCACTGTCAGACTTTTTGTAGCATTTGATATTTTTCTTAGGCTGAAAAAATCAGGGCTCATCCTCATTCCCTATCATAATGGTACGCGCCTTACTAAATTGTTGTATTATTACCATGAAACATCATTTAAGTCTGCTTCTGACGACACTTATTTATCGTAAAGTCGTTTTCGTTCATATTTTCCATACGCCTACTTGATCGATTCGGAGCATGGGGTATGTTTTGGATGCTTTTGATTAGTTGATTATCCCATAGTAAGGTTGTGTCAATGGAAATTGCTTAGAAAGTAATTGTGCAAAGCATCGTATGGCAACCTAATGATAGTCAACGTTAACTGTTACGATCGCTTCCCTTCTATTTTATAGTCTTGCGTTCCTATGGTTTAGTCGAATGCTAAGACAACACCTTTAGTCATAAAGATTTTCGTACTGTTGCAGATGTCGTTAAATATCCGAGAGCGACAGATTGCCGCTCTCAAGCACATGCTCAATCTAAACGTGTCCCAAAAAGGGAAAGCCAATGAGCCCGTTTGGAAGGTACGTAAGATTAAATAGTTTACAGATTCGATATGTATGCCTACAAGTGTCTTTGTTTTGTAAAGCGATACTTTACGAAATATGAGGATCCAACAGCGAAGCTTCTTTTAGATCATAAACGAGCAATTTTTCTCATCTTACCTCGTACTAACTGACCTTGACAATTCGACAACGTTCTGTACTTGGGAATAGACGAGGTTTTTTAATGCGAACGTATATATCAGGTGCTGGTCTATGATCGTGCCGGCCAAGACATCATTTCGCCACTGCTGTCCGTGCGTGACTTACGTGATCTTGGGGTCACTCTACATCTCTTGATTCATTCTGACAGAGACCCTATCCCGGAGGTGAGTGTGAAACTTTAAATAATCTGTTAAAACAAAACTTGTAATTTGCCTCAGTAATGTTTTTCAACTCTTAGGCTACTCATATTGGATAGCAAAAATAGCCTATACGGTTATGACAGTTGTAGAAAGGAAAATTTGTATACATTCGGCGTACGTTCACTGAACTCGGTCCTTCTTCCGTCTCTCGTGATGTAATACTATCGTTATCTTCGGTTCTTTTAATCTGTGTGACAGGTTCCCGCCGTCTACTTTGTTGCTCCTAGTCAAGAAAACATCAGCCGCATTGGTCAAGACTTTCGCAATGAACTCTATGATCAATATTATCTGAATTTCATATCTCCATTGTCTCGCCAATACCTTGAAGACTTGGCTTTGGCAGCAATTAGCGCCAACTGTGTACAGAACGTGTCCAAAGTCTTTGATCAATATCTGAATTTCATCACAATTGATAATGACATGTTCCTGCTGAAGCAGCATGGCCGCGAAGAGGTTAGCTACTACGCACTGAATCGAGGCTCGGTCTCAGATATTGAAATGGATTCTGTGATGAATTCAATTGTCGACTGTCTGTTCTCGGTATTCGCAACCCTTGGTACCATACCATTCATTCGGGCTCCAAAAGGCAACGCGGCCGAAATGGTGGCCGAAAAGCTCGATAAGAAGCTCAAGGATAACCTGCGCGATATGCGGAACTCGCTATTCTTAGATATGACCCCTGGGCAGTTCTCGTTCCAAAGACCGCTCCTGGTCATCCTTGACCGAAGCATGGACATGGCTACCCCTCTCCATCATACGTGGACGTATCAAGCGTTAACCCACGATGTACTGGACTATAAATTGAATCGTGTTACGCTCGAGGAAGCTGTAGGGCCGCCAGGTCATCTCACCGGCACGAAGCCTCGTGTTAAGACACGCACGTATGATTTGAATGTGAGCGACAAGTTCTGGCAACAGCACAAAGGAAGCCCATTTCCAACAGTAGCTGAAGCAGTTCAGGAGGAGCTGGAAAAGTACCGTGCCTCAGAAAAAGAAGTCAAAAGACTTAAGGCTCAAATGGGACTTGATGGCGATAATGCTGGTAATTATGGCTCTAATCTAGGCAGAGCCGGTAGTTAATTTTTTTTCAAATATTATAAGTACTGTATATGATTACTTTATATCCATCTGTCGCTCTTAGAGGCTTAGGCTACCGTCGCTGTCTCGCGAAGTTCACAAGTTACTACCCACTAAGCTCTCAACAGTCATAATCAGTAGAAACCTAAGCAATGTATCTGTTTGCCTACTCTTCTAGAATGAAGAATAAACGTGCACTATTTGCTTCTACGACATATACCTACGTGTGGGATAATTATCTGCTTCAATGTTGTATGCCTGAAATATTCAAAATTGTTGCTTGATAAACCATTCCGTTTTCAGATGAAGCAATGGGTTTGCTAAATGACAATACAGCTAAGCTAACAAACGCCGTCAGTTCCTTGCCTGAACTTCTCGAAAAGAAACGTCTGATTGATCAACATACAACGATTGCCACTGCAATCTTGGACGAGATCAAAGCTCGTAAGTTAGACACTTACTTCGAAATAGAAGAAAAGATACTCGGAAGGCAAACACTGGAGCGAAGCATACAGGATACGTTAGCCGATCCTCAGGCCGGCTCGCCATGCGATAAACTTCGTTTGTTCCTCATCAATTTCATTTGTAACCAGATATCGCCGGAAGAGTTTAAGGAGTACGAGGCACTCTTGGAAAAGGCTGGCTGCGATCTGAAAGCTGTTAAATACCTCAAAAGGTGGAAGGACTTCAGCCAAATGCAGGTGCAAGCACAGCAGGCGTATGCTGGCTCGGGTACGAAAACTGTCGGCATGTTCTCTAAACTAATGTCACAAGGAAGTCAATTCGTTATGGAGGGGGTCAAGAACTTGGTAGTAAAGAAACACAAACTACCATTGGCTAGAGTGAGTATCAAGCTTTGGTAGGGAGGCATGATAATGATTGTCTTACTTGGTCATCTAACTGAATCGTATCTACTATTTTAATCTCACTCGAATACGTTGTGTAAACCTCATACACAATCACATTTGACACATGATCTCTATTATCCATGCAAACTAACTCTGTCTACGTAAGGTTGAGGTTAACATATTACGGCCCGGTTGATAGTAACATTAAAATTGCTCTTTATGCTTGATTTCAGATTGTAGAATCTTTAATGGACTTAAAATCAGGACCGGACACTGATGATTTTCGTTATTTTGATCCCAAGCTTCTTCGAGGATCTTCACCCGAGTTTGGGGCTAGTCGCACACAGACGCCGTTTTATGATGCGATTGTGTTTGTTGTTGGTGGAGGTGACTATATTTATCTTTAATCATTTGTGTTCGCTTTACTCGACGAAATATTTTTCAAAGGAATTATTTACTCAAACCTTTTCATCACTTTTCATAAGATTCGTTAACCTTCACATTATGACTAGCGAAGTAGCAATGTCAGTTCAGGAATATCATTATGCAATTAGGATCCCGAAAACGGTGAATCATAAATATAGAAATCTGATTGTAAGGAACTTTACTGGTCTTTGTATTATCACGAGACCAAACATTTTTCTTTTATTTTCGAGCTCGCTGCATTCTATAGCTCTGTCTAAGCTCAGTTGGATTTCCCTTCCGTTGCAGGTAATTACATTGAATACCAGAACCTCATTGAGTGTATGCGGACGAAATCGACTCCGCGAAACGTCATCTACGGCTGTACAGAACTAATGAACGCTCGACAATTTGTACAACAACTTAGTTGTTTAGGCGACGAAATTAACTAATGAGTAATGGAGGCCTTTCAATCTATTATCGGCAACGAACAGATGATATCATGAAGCGGTCCTAGAGAGAAAATTCAAGTTAGAAATCGTATTATTTTAATAAATGAGAAATAACGATAATAACATAAACGGCTCCTATATTTGTATATTTTCAATAATACTCGCAAACATAATAGCTATGGCAATAGTAAAAATAAAAAGAGGGAACCTAGTTTTAGAATCTCTAGAAGTTTAAAGAAAAATAAAAAAGTTATGTTTGCATATGTTACTGTCCTGTATATATTATACAACGACGAAGATAATGGTATGAACAGTAGGATAGATGTCATTGTATATACATAAATACAATTGCAAGGAGACAATGGTGCATATGTTTTGTGGAAGATTCGGCTGGGAAAAATGGTGGAAAAGAAAAATATGTTCCGGATATAAACTATTTTGCTCGACTGAAGAGAATAACCATGAAAACGAAATTTGGTTGATCGAAAAGTTGAAATCAGTTTTACAAATCGACACCAAACCAGCTTAGCCTGGGATATTATGTATGCAACACATGCCATTACTTTATCTTACTAATGTTCTTATATTACAAAATTATATTGATGACTTAAACTGGTTTGGCCTTTTTCAACTTCGGTTGGTCATCGCTTTTTTCGTCAATACCCTGCGGCACCGCCTCAAACACTGGTTTCGGCTGCGTATGTTTGTAAGCAGGGCTGACCCAATAAGGATTAGCGGCAGCTGCTTCGGCATGCCTCAGCAGAGCTTCGCGAGGGTCTTCACTTTCGTCTATCACTCGATCACGAATTCCCAATTGCCGGACAATGAACGACGTATGCGTGTTGCCGCCCGAGGCAATCCGTCCACCAGCGCCAGGACCTGTCACTGGCAACTCGGGTCTTCGAGACTTCACCGGATCTTTTCGATCTAGTTCTTCGCGTTTACGCTGAAGTTGCATTTTCTCGTCGCGGAATAACGGGAGGGCGTGTGGTGTTAAAATCTGCGTTGTAGTAACGGACTCCATTTGCTTACGTTTCACCTAAACCAAGCGAGACAAAGCAGAACGAGTCAATTGAGAAGGTTGGTACACGTGTAGGTTCTTGACTTGATCCAACAAGAGATAGCTTTAAATGATGCCACGCAGGATGGCGTTGCATGATGCTTTAAATGATGCTTTCAGGGCTTTAGATTAATTTCGGAGAAGGGTCACTATAAAGTATTTGGATTTTTATTTTTTATATCCATTAAGCACTACAGGACACACATATACAAGATATATTACAAGTTACAATAACTAGCATTCATATCGGCGTCAACTTTTATAGTGCATCTTTGAGCGACACATACCTTCGTTTTTCCAGCGCAGAGTAGGGCTCCGTTTCTTGATTGTTTTTCATCGTATAACACTTTCGTCAGACCGTTACTGAGGCCTATTACCAACTGATTAATTTTGGGATGCCACCGAAGACGAATAACTGAGGCTGTTTCTGGATGTGACTCGACCTCATCAAAAGTTAGAGTATCAAATACTTTCACATGAGCAATATGTCCGCCTGTTATGATTAAAAAAGTTAATAAAAAAACCACTCTATAAAAATACGGTATTAATGAGATTAAAGATTCCTCTAGATAGCACAGAACTAATATAGGATACACGTTAACTTCTTCTGTTAGCTGTTCTTTTCTCAACGCAAAAATAAAAGACACACAAAGAAAAACAACACTATGGAAAAACTAATGATATAACGGTTGAATGTATGGCTATGATCCAACCAACCAGGGGTGTCAGGTTCAAGACTTATCGATGACAGATACTACACGACAGACGTGACCGAGTGAAGAAACCCATCAGTATTTCGATGACCACAAAAATGTTGGTACCGTAGATTCTCACCCTTCTCGAGCGTGGTCCCGGTAAGTACGAGTTTGTCGTTGGGATTAAAGATTGCATCCGTCATAGAGTATATATTGTTCAGTCCATTGAAGACATGAAGCGGCCTTTTTATATTGCGTGCATCCAGCAATGCCATTCGATCGTCAAGGCCGCGAGTTAATAGTCGATTTCCGCAATACGAATAGCAAATGCTAGTCACATCGTTGCCCTTCGCATGAACATTGCGGCAAAGCTGGGACGTATTGACAAAACTGCGTCGATGATCCCAAATCTGAATAGAACCGTCATTACAAGCGGCAGCGCACTGTAACATCGACATTTTAGAAGTGGAAAAAATACGAAATGAAGAGATTCACATCAGTAGAATTGGTTTGACCTTACAACTATGTAAGTTGGTGGTATCGTTTAACTTGATCAACAGATGTTTTTAGGAATCAACTACTAGTTAGGTAAATCAGTAACAATTCAAGCGCTTACACACTTGACTTACCCAATTGTCCGTACAAACTTACCCAATTGCCGTCTTGACTATAGCAGCAAGCAGTGGGCACAGCTCGTAATCCACCCTGCTGGCGAGGCTTCATGATCGCTTTATGTTTCCCCCCGACAACTGGCGTATTCTGCGAGTCCCATAGACGCACCGAGCCGTCGTTTGAGCACGTCATAAATTCAGCTCGCTGACGAGGATGCCAACGACCAGAATTGCACATCGCGGTGTGACCACGCGTCTTTCCCATATCCGTCAGGTACATATCACCTGTTATCGACAAAAGCAACAACAGCGGCGATATTAGAAAGTAGAACAATAGAAACTGTGAAAAAGAACAGCTAAAACCGCCACCAACTGAATATTTGCAGCAAAAAATGCCAATGAATGAGTTTAGTGAGCTTATGCTCAGCAGAAGTAACATGACTCTGATGGTTTGTGTAGCCCGTATCAGGACTAAAGGTCGGTACATTGATAATTTGTTGAGGAAGATTAATAATATAGGCAATAATAAATATTATGACTCAACAGAGACATTATGACATAAAAATGTGAACGAAAGTCTGTGACTATTTCGTTCTAAACACGTAGACGCGAAATGAAACAGATAGCGAACTTGTTATCTTTATATAGCATATAGATATCCATATATAATAGTTGTTACCTTTAGGACATTCCATCATTGAAAGTCCGTCTCTGTCGAGGACTTTTGGTTGCGAATTTCCTGACACAACTAGCACTGCTTCTCCGGTGCAGTTGAAGTCCAAATCGCGAATCTGATGACACTCGCATGGTTGCAGCGTGCGGAATGGCTGGAAAAATGTACATGTAAGAAAGCCAGAAACCGACAAAGTTTAGAGATAAATAATATATTAGCTCACTATCATACCTTATTCCATCTTTTCTAAGAAATAATCATTTTGCCGTAGCTAGTAAAATGGCCGAACAAATAACTAAACCCCAAAGCACAAGCAGAATAATATTGTATTCAGTTTTTCATTGTTCTGTAAACAAAATATGATTTTTTGACAAAGCAAAAAAAATTCTGTTTTATTGCAGTGGGAGATGTAACTTGCCCTGAAGGTGGCATCCATTCCAGCGAAATCCCATAGAGCCACTTGATAGTCATATCCTCCAGTAACCATCCGCGAACCGTTGGGATCGAGCCCAAGTGCCGATACTGGCTTCAGGCCATGTTGAAGTTCAAGTATCGACCGATGTAGGAGAGTGCAACGATATTCCTCATCTTTTTCTTCGTTGTCCTCTGAATCAGATTCTACTGACTCCGCAAGGTTCGATGGGGGCAGTGGTCCTATAACATCTGAGTCAGAGCCATCAGAGCTATAGTCTGTAGAACCACTCATCTGTTTTTGATTTCTGAATCCTGATGGTCCTGCGGGTGGAGCTGGTGTGTTGGGATCCGGTGCATGTTTGGAAAACAAATGCATTTTTTTATATTAGTTGTGCCATGTTTGTCGCCCATTCAGATTTGCTGTGCTACAGGTTTATCAGTGCCGCTCACATGAAAGGTGACAAAAGAAAGATTTAACGTAATACACATAAACGAAAGTGAATTTCGCATAACGGCAATAATACCAAATAATGCCTTTCACAATGCAGGGCTGATATTATGTTTATCGTTATGATTTCTTATGAAATCTTATGATTTACAACACTTTCGTTTTACGCTTACGTATAACAAAAGTAACTAGTTATTTTTGAGCTTTAATATTAATTAAGTATTACGTACAATACGGAGTACCCTTCTTCACAAGATTTAGATCTTGACGATAACTAACGATGACCACCTATTTATGTTAGTTGCTATGAAAACGAAAAATTCATTCCACCTTTTTAGAACACAAGATATAATTACACATATGCTTAAAACGTGACCCAAACACTAGAACATCGTATTTCGTTCACGAGCACTTTTCTTTCCTTGCTAACTAACCTTCGTCAGAACCCTTTTCAGGTTGTTTGCAGACCTCCTTGGCAGTCTGTCTCGCTTGTTCGAACACGGCACTAAGATCAAAGACTCGTGCCTTTTTATCGGCATTTTTTCGATGGGCCGGTGTTTTCAGCGAGCTACCGTCTTCCTTCCATGACATGATTCCCCACGTTATGTGGATAACGTTTGTTTGCTTGTCGACATCTGTTAGAGCCGCATAGAAGGTTCAGTTCAATCATCGAGTATAATTTTGCCGCCATCAAGTGAACCAACGCAACCAAGCGAAGCGTAAAACCTTCTTACATTTATCCGTATCAGCCTCGATAATCTTCAGCCATTTCCGATGTTCTCTCCCGGGCTTACCTTAAGGTCGCCCTTGAAAAGCGGAGCTTCTATGGCCACCAGCGATAGCTGCGGTCGCCGCCGTTCTAAGGAGAACTGCAGCGGCACCAGTACCCATTAGTATCTCAGCTGTGCTTCGTGCTAGGACACAATCGGCGCCTGTTAGTAGAGCTAAGCTCTATCGATGCGCCCATTCTGCTCACTGTTGGGACTAAAACCAGTGTACAACCAATCTTCGACAACAAATCGCAGCACATTAAAATGGGCTAAACTTCTAATTGCAACCAACTATCAACACAACACAAGGCATTTAGAGAATTACGCCAAAGGGACGGCTGTCGGATGTTCAGCTGATGTGAGAGATTCGCAACATTTTATTGTGCATTTATTGACCCTAGGGCAGCAGCAGTATCACCATGTTCATACGATCTATAAACGGTAATAGCGGAAGTAGTTATTCCACTGGAAGAAATTTTACGAACGGAGTTTCTGTGTTTATCCCGGCGTGCGTGCGTTTGTCTATCTGCGACTGTGCATGCAAAACGGTGCGTTGAACTGTAGTCCTTTAGGTTTTCGCTTTGGAGCAGCAAATCGAAGCACAAGTTCAATAACGAACTTAGAGACTCTGGAACTGCTTATCTGTCTATCTATGCAACTCGATTGTATTAGTGGCCGCACCAGTGGTGGTAGACAACTTCGTCGCATTATAATTTTTCGTCGGCTAGTCGTTACCGATATAATGAACGTTGCAATTGGCTCGCAAAAGGTTCTGTGTCACTGACAAATGGCCCAGTAGTAGCAGTAGCTTTACCATATGAGCTACAGAGTATCTAATTTTTCTTCTAAATAGAGAATTGTATTATTTCGGTTGACGGTTTTGGTGATTTCGCGGTAGGTGAAAAGCCACTATGTGTACGTCCAGCTCGCTTTTGTAGGAAGTTTTGTCACGCTGAGGAGAAAAAAGCAGTGAAACATTTGTTAGTTGCTCGATAGTTCGGGAGTTGAGTGAACTGTACAAGAACCATTTAAGTTAGGCATTAAGGATAGCAAAGTGCATCCAAAGTCGATAAACCGCTATCCTATTGTAAGACGGGGACTGCGTTACAGCTGTGCACGGTACGGCTGCTTGTTGCGTTCTTGTCTTCGAGGGGGGGGGGCAAGGGGATGGCTAGCCCGAGCTCGTCAACGGGTTCGACCCCGTTCGATCCTAATCATCCTGTATTTTCAGGACACACACTAGACAAGGCTACAAAAGCGAAAGTGCACTTGGAGAACTACTATTCGAATCTTGTCAGTCAGCACATTGAGCGACGGACGCGCCATGAGAAACTCGAGGAGTCGATGGCCGAAGAGGGCCTATCCGAAGAGCAGAAAAAAGAGGTGCGCGCTCAGCACTCGGTAAAAGAGACTGAGTTCCTTCGATTGAAAAGGTCACGTCTCGGTGTCGATGACTTCGATCCGCTCAAGGTAATCGGCAAGGGTGCCTTCGGCGAGGTTCGACTTGTACAGAAAAAGGATACTGGACATGTCTACGCTATGAAAATTCTACGAAAAGCAGATATGCTGGAAAAAGAACAGATTGCTCACGTGCGCGCGGAACGAGACATCCTCGTCGAGGCCGATCACCAGTGGGTTGTTAAAATGTACTACAGCTTTCAAGACGCCATCAACTTGTACCTGATTATGGAGTTTCTACCTGGTGGTGACATGATGACGTTGCTCATGAAGAAAGACACGCTGTCGGAAGAGGCGACGCAGTTCTACATTGCAGAGACAGCTTTGGCGATTCAGAGCATCCACCGGCTTGGATTCATCCATCGGGATATCAAACCTGATAACTTACTCTTAGATGCGCGGGGCCACGTAAAGCTGTCCGACTTCGGTTTATGCACGGGCTTAAAAAAATCGCATCGTACAGAGTTCTATCGTGACCTATCACAGGCCAAACCCTCAGACTTTATGGATTCGAAACGACGGGCTGAGAGTTGGAAGAAAAATCGGCGCCAGCTTGCATATTCGACTGTTGGAACGCCGGATTACATCGCGCCAGAGGTATTCATGCAAACAGGTTATACGGCTGCCTGTGATTGGTGGAGCCTTGGCGTGATTATGTACGAAATGCTTATAGGTTACCCACCATTTTGTTCAGAGACGCCACAGGAGACGTACCGTAAGGTAAGCTAATATGTTATGTCATGTAGTTGCAAAATAATAGGTGGCACAAAATAATAATGGCAAAACTTGGCTTAACGTTGGCTGTGGTAGTGCGTTTTCTTTTAAGATAACAAATCAAAACAATAATATTAGAAAAAACTCTATTGGAAGTAGAGCCATGGTATGTGCAAACTGGTATGTTCGAATTGGGAAAAACTTACGCGGGTTGTTTTTAGTAAAAAGCATATAGTCATCGGCTGCTTCTGGTTTCGGACAAAAGATAGTACTGTCTAAAACAAAGCCACAAGAACGTCATTGCAAACAGCAATGTATCGTTTTCGGAATTTACGCGAAGATCACGCATAACCCAATTTTTCCGCCCTGAACAACCCCCACGAAGATTTAACATTATTTTTGTCTTAATTAACTATCTTATTGCCAGTTCTCACGGTGGAAACCTCAAAGCAAGATTTTCTGAAATGAATTTAATTTTTAAATGAATTTTAGATCCACAAAGTTTTAAAAGCCATCAAAATAGCTCAAAAAAACATTTGTCATATGCTTAAATTTTCACTACAGAAATTAAGTAATTTACGAAAAGAGAATGCAATTGCAAATCAGGTCGTTCAATAAAGTTACAAGGGTTAGCTTTATTGAGACTTTTTACGTCTTTCTGCGCCTTTTAAACTTTTTTGGCCGTTTTGAACCCTAAAATTTGGGAACTTTTAGCCTGATATTAGCCAGAAATTTAAGTTCGAAATATCTCGTATATAGCGTATTTGACTGACACTCAAGCAGTTTGTCCACCAGTAGCGCTTGACGTACGGTTGCTATAAAAAATTATTTGGATATTAAGGATGGAGTATATCGACAATAATTAGGTAGCGATTTATGTTCCAAATGAACGGTATAATCATAATAGATAAAAATAAATTATGTAATAGCAACCGTTAGGAGTAACACTTGTAGCACACGCAAAGAATCATTTGTTTGATTTAGAAAGAGTCTCAGAAATGAAGCCTAAGGGGAATTTTCAATTTAGACGTACCTATGATTAGAAGCATAGATTATGCGACGATTTTTTATGGCTGGCATATTTTTTTATTGTATCATCCTGTTCAAATAGAAAATTCAGGGTTCTATTCGTAGCCTGCGCTTTTTTACTGTTCAAATTAACGTTTTTGTAAGATGGTCACTTATCTATTCAATGTGTTTATGCCAAGAATATAGGTTTATTGCTATATAAATTTTTAACCAAAACCTCTGGGATTCGCTATTCAATTTACTTGTTTAACGTGTTCGTTTGTATATTATCGGAGAAATGTTAAAAAACAACGATATCCAGCGTTGCAATGTTGGGTCGTATGTGTGGGCAGTTTGAAAATGGCTATAAAAAGTTTTGAAGTTCACAAAACTTAAATTTTTGCCCCTGCGAGATAAAGACGATAAGTTATGGAGATACAAGAACGCCTTCAGACGCGTCCTGTCCATCAAAACAAAACCACCTTAGTGCAAATGCCGAACAATCCAGAGTTCTTTAGAAGCGGTTTCTCGAGAAATGAACTCATTGAGGGATCTGATAGCTACCTAAATTTTATCTGCTATTTCACTAAAACATAAAATAATGTGTCTTTGTTGAACATTTGAGCGGTATGTCATACGACAAAGTTCAAACCAACACCAGATAGTTAATCGAGCCACTCTGATCATTTTACCATTGTTCTTTTAGAAATAACTCCATTATATTGAGGAGCATTTATGCTTGGAGGCCTTGCATTCCATAATGCACATAATGATTTAGCTAAAAAGTCTGTCCTAGATGTCCTAGATGTTATTACTATTATTAGTGAAAACACGATTAAGTGTGAGTGTAGATAGCAATCGGATATTAAATCTAATAAAACATTCTATCAAAATAAAATCGTGTAGCTTACAAAATACCACAGCAAGTATTTCCCACTTACGAACGGCTGTTTCAAGCATGTTATGCATAAGTGTCTCGTAGGGCGACATGTTTAGTCATCAACCATGTGACAGTTGAAATACTTTTTGCTACAGGGCTGCGAATCCCTCAGTTTAATTACAGTGTTCAGTATTTGATTTAATAATACTAAGATTAGTTTGGGTCTTTTAGGCTGATCGGCCGACATGTTGCCATTGAGCCTTCAGTAGGGGTGTACGCATACATAAAATTGTGTTTTTCAAATAAGTATGCATGTATGTGTACACCCTTAGTAGTGGCTCATTTGGTCAATCACGAAGCTGCATGCGCAAATAAACAGCTGTGTGCTATAATAACGCATTATGCTTATTAAAAAAAGAGCAATATTCACATGAAGTCGAGTTGTTCTCTGAGGATCACTATGTATCAGTGTAAAGCTAATGGTAAATGTATGATTCCGTTTTCGTTTGGCAGGGAATCTTTATGCGATAATTGAAAATCGTCATTTAACAACAACCTGTTCCCACGCTTGTTTTTCATATGCAAGTTCTCAAACGTTGAGGGCGTCCCAAGATTCTGATTTGTAACTGTGCCTGTTGGATAGTAATAATAATGATAATAATATGCGGGTGCACTGCGCAACGATTTCTCGATCGGGGAGGTTGCACACGAACAAATCAATATTTCCCGTGAAACTATACGGTGTAACATTTGTGTAATGATTACTGAATTTCATATGTAGATCAGACCATTGATCAACGATCGCTTAATGCTAGGCATCATTTTATTTTATACGTGTTTATGATGTGCGGTAGAACGGCCAGAATATATCTTCTGACACTTGGCAGTACAGGTAAAGTATGGCGTCGTTTATGCATTGCGTCTATTCAATGCGAAGCGTCTGTGTGACATCGTCATTATATTAAATGTTTGCGAAGCACTATACAGCCACACCTTGCATCGTGGTCGTTTTGGTTATATTTTGAGATTTTGAGGATTTTTTCGTTATCAGCAACAGAATTTATTACAGGTCTATTAGTTAGGTTAGTTGGATTTGCGGCCATAGACAACTGAGCGTACATGCTAAATGGAGACCATAAAGACTTATGCTAATCAAATCAGAAAGACGCTAGCGAACGTTAGTAATATCATTGGGTTTTGACCTTGCGCATGAGAGCGAGGAACCGCCATGTTAGGTAACGAGCGTCTGCGGCCCAATTTTTTACTTGGAACTGTAAGTCACCATGGACGTGTTATAATATAAAGTACATTGGACACGACTCATTAAGAGGCCACAATCTTTTGAGAGTAATTGTTTAATTAGTGTCACAGTTGATTTTCGTTATGTTAGTTTTCGAAGTACAGCACCCGAATACTTTGGGTCGGTGCGCTTTTGTTGCTTGCTAAGCTGAATTGAAGAAGGTTCAATAATAAATGCTGACTTAATTCTGTACTTATCAACACAACCAGCGTACCAAGTAAATTACAGCTTAAACGAGCGGCGTAGAGACTATCATACTGAGAACTGTGAATTAGACCAATTTATTTTCTACAAATATTACGTAATTGACCTCTTCGCGTTCTTTCGAAACCAAGTTCCACTCGAATTTCAAACAAGATTTGAATTCACTATTTACTAATTTACTTTAACCGAATTCTAATTAACTATTACTCAGTCAAAAACAAATCAAACAAGTTCACTGACTACCCGAATTTCTGCGATTGTCTATTTCGGCAACTTTCAGGTAATGAATTGGCGCGAAACTCTCGTGTTTCCACCTGAGGTACCAATTTCCGTAGATGCCCACAGCCTCGTGACGTCGTTATGCAGTGATGCGACTGTGCGACCCGCAACATTCGGTGACATCAAAGAGCACCCGTTCTTTCGCGGGGTCGACTGGGAACATATTCGTGACCGGCCAGCTGCGATACCTATTCGAGTAAGGCAGAGGGAAAGAAATGACGTGATCTCAGCGGCAGTAGGATGGGCTAGAGACCAACTTTATTGGAAAGCACAAACATAGACTTTTCCGGTTAAAATCTCTTCAATTAAATTTTACCTGATATATAATATGCCTAAACAAGCCGTTTACACTTCAAAGTTAGACTTTGTTACTAAGTACATTTACACAAGCGAATGAGATGTGTTCAAAAGATGATATTAGAGCAGGGGGTCTGAATTTGTAATTGGTATCGGTATTAGGGACGTTGGCTATGAACATGCTTCAAAATAATGCGATATGTAGCACAGCGAGGTAAATTATGGCAGTTGATGTTTCCACTCTCCAATTCTATATTAACAACGTAATGGATGTTCCAGAAAATGGCGTATCTGTACGACATCAATCTTTTAACTATTCGGACGCGCTGCCTTATTAAACTTATTTTGGGCTATTACATCGTGTCCAGTGCAGAGATGTTTTATATTTTGAGACCTAGGTTACTGATTATAGGTAGCTCTCAACGCACCATTTTGCATAACGTTAAGCCGGTAAATGTCCAAGACGTTTACCAAATACAAGACACATTGGCTGAGGGTATCGCAGTTGGTAAAAAGACTCTGTTAGTGATGGGTGTAGAGGTTGCTTGTCTTCAATGGCTTCAATTCATAGGCTTAGATGACATCGTGCATATATTTATACGGTTTTTAAGGGAACTTGCCGAAAGTAGCATTAGTTAGGGCAGATCAAGATTATACTGCAGTACTAGCGCCTGTGTCTACAAAATATGAGTCAAAAAATAACTTCCCATCTAGTACTACATATTCTACTGTTCTAAGTCGGCAGTAAAGCATTTGAACAATTAGTTTATCTAATGAAATCGTCTTTTCATCTGAATATATGAGAGGACTTAAGTCAAAGGGATAAGATATTAAATTCGTTACAAGAAGCTATTTTGAGTTTTTGTATTTTTTTAGCAGATTTATAGTACTTAGCGTGTTCTTTATCGTCAAAATACTTTTCTTCGGATTATTTTCAACCATATATATTTCTCACAAAGTATATGATAAGATAGTAGGGTACACATTGTTGCGTAACTGAGTTATGACAATATTTAAGCCGATGAACTAATAACTTTAGACGCTCCGCCTGTTCATCTGAATTTGATAGCCACCACAAGAAGACACTTCAGAAGATACATGACCGACAAATGACTCAGCAGTTGGTCGTTAAGATGGGTTGTAGCCCCACGTAAATACTCTCAAGACCTTGATTTACCGAAAACTTAGAGCTCGGATACCCCATGAACTTGCTGAATCCAATAAAATTGAAGTCTTTACATACTAGCCGCTGTCGAGCGTCACGCGGCCACAACGACCGATTTTCACACGTAACCAGCGATAAGAAATGATGTCTGTACGTCAACATGAACTAGAAATCCAAATGGACAGCTACAGTAAGGAAGCTAAGGCCCACCAGATTTTCATTCAGAAAAAAATTTATGCAAGGTTCTGATTTACTGGAAATCGATTCGTACGAACCAGACAGTAATGAGCACCTTTATTTAGCCCAGCTGGATCGAATCAGGCTAACCTACTCCGTGACGACGCAAAGCTACACACGGCGAACGTCGCTAAGACTACCCTCCTGGATTTAAAAAATATTTAGATTTCGTTGCGCTTTCTATATTCCTTGGACTCTGCGCCGAACGATTCTTCCTTTTTTTAGTTCAGTTGGCAATCACCTTCGTGATCTTACCTTTGACATAGATCAGTAACTCAAAACGTTGTTGGAATACTTCTTCGAGATGAAACCCGCAACTTTTTGACGAAATGGTCTAGATTTAATAGAAAGGTGGGAAAAAATCCTGAGCGATGACAGATAGTATATAACGTAATAGCTTATTGTTATAACAATCAACGTAGTGTTTTCGCGAAAAAATTGCGGGAATTTACTATCCAGCTTAATGTATATATATACGTATTATTATGTAATTATATATTAATATATAAATTATATTATTATATATATGTATATATAATAATAACAAGGCATTGTCTACTTACATCAAATTCGAGCGTTCCCAACGCGATTACAGTGAAATGTGTGTTATTATACGAGATGAAAGCAATATAAATTTTGTCATAACGGACACACATATATCAGTTACACCTGGCGGCAAGCGTTTTCTTTCTAGAACAAACTCATTATGGCGACAGGGACTCTTTTTTAAAATACGAGCGAAAATCAGCTCTTGTTTAATGTGTTCATCCCTGACAAAGTTCACCGAACTTTTAGCTTCGTTGACTACCCGAAATTGACAGTTCAGTGCGTTGTGATTGACCGCATGGCTGTTGAGCAGACAGAAGCAGGTTCTTGTATACCATAGAAGAAGGAACACAACCCCGAGTGCGCTGTTAGGATGTTATGACTAACTAAACAGGCGCAAAACTGAATTTTAAACGCTCTTGATTTTTCGATGCGTCCCCGAGGTGGCGCAATGCTAATACCTACTGGACTTGGTTTTGCAATAGGCGCAATTCAAAACGTCTAGGCCTACCATTGCTCGAATCGCTCATCCACACTTAAGGTATAAAACGCGAAAGTAAATTACAAGGGTCATTGCTGTTTCTTCTCAGATTCAGAAAAAAAACCGCATTGCGAATAGAGTCAAAGTTCCAGCAGATGTCCATGTCGTGACCAGTGAATGAGACATCGTACAGACATATGATGCGCGTTATTTAGATGTACAAAAAGCTTTTGTGAAATTGTCAGTGGTTACTGTGTCCAGTAGTACGTCATACTTTTTTCGACGAAGTGGCTGATGTGGTTATTTGAGTAAATTAGTATAAGCCTGGCAGATTGAGGATATGACCTTCTGGCAGCCTAGCACATCGAATTTAAGTCCGCTCGTCTGAAGCGAAGATCTATTAAATCTCGACAGCAAGAATGCTAGCCCGCTTTTTGGCGCAATTGAAAAAAAGCAAACGAAGGTATGGATAGAAAGACTTGAGGCCTGAGTTGAAACCAAATCGAAATAAAAATCGAGTTGAACTAATCAATTCAAGTAAAAATAACATTGAATAAACACTTAGATCAAGGATGTTCCTGTCAACACACGTAAAACGAATTCACCCAAAGGTCTGCCTTAGATGCAGCGGATCGTAAACGGGCGATACAAAAAAATGTCTCAGTTTACTTCCAGTGATGTACTGCATCAAACAATCAATCAACATTAATTCGTTACTTTTCGCCGTTTAATGGACCATTGCTTGTGTGAACTGAAAGGCTGAATCAATGTCAATTTCATTCGTGTGTAACTAGCATGTGACTATAAACGTGGAGGATAGGATATAATAGGATTCAATCGTAGATCAGTCTGCATCTGCTGGGCAAACTTCATTTCTGATATTGGTGCATGCTATTCGATTAATCGCTTATAAATATACACACAGTTCGAATGATATCGAGCAGTTTAACTGAGTTTACATCAATCGTATCGGATATATTTACATACAATGCAATGCAGGCCCTGGGACAAAGATCTTCTGTGATATTTTGCTCCTAGATTTAGCCACATGATACGGGAAATCTATTGACATAGGTAAAAAATATCGAGCAAGCAATTTTTTTCGGAAATTTGGTCATTTCTCAATCGGCCACTTTGTACAGCGCTATATTCCGTGCTTTAAGTATTTGAATTTCCTTTTCTGACACATCCATGCAATTAAAAATTTAAAAAAAAAAGGGAAATTGCCAGATATTGTAAAATACCTTGTAAGGCATGTTGTTTTTCTGGCTTTTAGTAGGTCCAGTAGTAAAGGAATTTACTGCTGGTGGGACAACTGCGTTCAAAAAGTAGTTGCGATTCGAGATAGCTAATAGCGTTATAGAGCTCTTTCACAGTGTTCGAATGTTCACCAAGTGCATATTGATCCTCGCTCTCCTTGAATACTACGAATGGCTTAGGTTCGCACTAAAACAGCTACCAAAATATTTTTCTTGTTTTTTTTTGCTCTTCTGGCAGGAAAATATACAAATTCTCAATGAAAACGTTTTTACAGTGTATTAAAGACGACGCATTCGTAAGACCTTGGACTGAAACCTGACTAAGATTCCGGCATTCTCTAAAGCAATTTAATCTAACCGATATAAAAGAAGAGTGCGAGCTGTTTGCTTCTTCAGAATTGGTGTTTCTGCTAGCCCACGAAACTATTAATTTAATCTAATTATCTTACGCTGCTTATAAGCAGGCATATATTTTACGTATTTAAAATGTATACGTTAGTTACCCTCGTATTGTCCAACTTAGTCGACATGGCTTTTATCATCGCTATTCGTAGCGTCAAAAGCAGTTAGTTTCAAAGGATGGAGAAACATTTTTTTGCCTCGTGGCTCACATAGCTCAATCCCAACGGAAGGTGATAATAAGCTAACCGTAAATCCAACGGGTGGTGACGTCTACATTGACAATGTCACATCTGACCACCTAATGACGGTAAACAAAACAAAATATCACGGGTACCTGCGTGCAGGATGTGTAGGCCTTTTTTTGGCTCCTATCTAACAGTTTTATTCCATTGTTTGTTTTGCTGATGGCTTGTCCTATAGGTGAAAAGTATAGATGACACATCCAACTTCGACGATTTCCCCGATGTCCAGTTGAAAATCCCGTGCGCTCCAAAGGATGAGAGCCCGGGCACAATAGCAACCGCTGCTGCGGGTGGTCCAGGCGGGCAGAACTATAAAGACTGGGTATTCATCAATTACACCTTCAAACGGTTCGAAGGTTTAACGCAGCGCGGGAATAAGAAGTTAATGACGGCGTTTAGCGCGGCACCATCTGGCTCATCGCCATCGAGCTGAACTTCAAAGCTGACAACATAATTTTGACAATATCAACAACCTGTAAGCATCCATCTCTAGTCAGCCGACGAAAAGAAGTTTCGTTAAAAAGAAGCCGCATGTCCAAGAAGGATCTTAAATGAAGGAGGGCAACATTACAACAAACTGCAAACGAATGTCCAAGAAAGCAATAGCAGTTGGTACCTAATTATCTATATCATCAGTCTAAGCGAATAGATCACAGTTTGGCAGAAGTGATTAGTAAACAGGCACATATGAGAAGTGCAATCAAGTGCTTGCCGTGCTTCGCGACCCAATGCCACATGGCATGCAGATCATAAGTCCTCCCTGAAAATACAAAGAATACAGAATAATTACTATACAAAACTACACACAAGTATATAGGAATCTACACATTACATAAGTGTAGCACACAAAAAAGAAGGAGGTGAGCAGACGGTAATAAGTAATCGGACCCGAATAAATTTTTCGAAAATGCGTGCCCGTTGTCCCAATAAATGAAATCAAGATATTATTGACTAGTATTCTTATCTTCCTTGAAAATAGCTGTGAAATCTTAACGCAAACCTAGCTAATGAATGGATGTGAACAAGTGAAGAGAGCTTTCCTGCCTTCGACCAACAAACGGCAAGCCAATGGGTAGCAGATGACGAAGTAATGCGGAATAGCGAAAAAAAAATTAATGATATGATAAGACATAATAATAACACTAATAAAAATAGCATCATAATGGTTATGGTGATGATAATGATGATTATGCGAGATATGGCAAAGCTCGCTAGGGGAAGTCAAGCCGAGAAGCCGCGGTGTTCCAAAGGAGGACGAACTATGTCATTTCAGCGAGGAAGGTATATATACATAGGGCCAGATGATAGGCGCATACTGTTAGAATAAAAGACGAGTATGACTAAAGCTATGCGAGTTTGAAGTCTATATGGAATGTTGCGGAAGACATAAAAGAGAGGGAAAAAAACAGAATATCCGAAAAAGAGGGTATAGATCGCACTGAAGGCTGCAGTTGGAGCGTTTGTTTGGACAATGAGGAGTCATAAAAACGTAAAAAGGAGAAACTAAGGCAATATCATCATACGCTGCGGGAAGTGTTATTTGTATGCGATGAGGAACCGAAAGGATGTTGAGGATTGAAAAACGATAAATAGACTGCTGAAAGGATATGGCCTGCCTGACACTAGGTCGCACCAGCAGCGCGGATGGTGGGATTCCTGTGTGAGGCTGACGTGCTAGCGGCATGAAAAGCAAGACATGCGTTACGTACTGTTAACACAAACGATCTAATCTTTTTTTTGTGTTTTTTGGTTACGCGATGTGAGCAAGACAACAGTCAACAACCCTCAATGAGTAGAAGAATAATAACGGATATGATGATGATCTCACGCGCAGTTTTATAGCGAAAATACTACACATGTAGGCCTTCGCACATGGATAGCATACGGAATCAGGGAGGAATGTCATTCCATAGAGAACACTCGTTGATTCAGGGTTGGGTATGAGTCCGAGATTTAAGGAGATAATGGCTCAACTACGTATAAAACTTTTTCGATACTGTACCTCCAGAAAAAGCACTGGCGGTTCTCTTACCGATCTTATATCTACCTATACATAGTGTGTAGGTTAAAAAGGCAAAAATACAAGTAGACCGGATTACATAACGATGCAGATAAAACATAAGGACAATCTGTGTGCCTACGTTTGTTTCGTAGAAAATAAATTCGATGCGTTGAGCTAAAATGCAAAGTCACTAGAAGGAATTTTATATATAAAACTCCTTCAAAAAACAAAGAAAACCTAATAGTTACGATATTTTTATGAGGGTATAACGGTAGATGATTCTAGTACAGTTACTTTTAAGTTCTGATATACGCGGTTGCTGAAAAACCGAAAGCAGCGATTGTTAAAAATGCTAGTGCAAACAAAATGGCGCAAGGAGCAAATAAGTAATCACGACGGCAGCATTCATCTTCTGCATAGAATACAGTTCATAGTTGTATCTCCCGCTTTGACTACTCCATTTTTGGAGGTGGTAGTTCTCCCCTGTCTCCATGGACTTTATCGATCCAATGTTTGTCTGGATTTCGAAAACTGGAGTCAGAGAAGTTTATTATCTCTGTCACTATGTACAGATTGGGGCAAACATCTTACAACTTTTAAGCGACGTGACGTTTGTAAGAAGAATGGCTAGGGCCATGTGGTTTGTATCAGCAAAAATATGAGGTTTATATAAATAAAACACATGGTTGTGATAGGCGCAGCCCTGCCACGCAGTTTTTACCAAGAAGCAAGACACAACAAAACGTCAAGCCAATACGGCAAATTACGTCGACAAAGAAGAATGGTCATGAGAAACATGATTTAGCAAACCAGAGCGTCACACCCAATGTTTACCTCGAGTTTACTTAAGCTATCTTTATGTTATTGCTATTTTTTTAAGAGTAAGTAAACCGTACTTTTTAAGGTGGGTCTAGGTGAGGAAGGAAGATAATTTTATTCTTCCACTTACACTCCAAACTAAATGATGATTAATTTTATTAGAATACACTGTAACACAATACTTAAGAGAAGATGTCTGCTCGATATTGGAGTCGATGAGTGGAAACGAATAGAAAACCAAGAGGTAACACGAAGTGTTTGTCGTTCAGAAAAGAAACGGAAGCAAAGTCTGAAGATCCCGTAATGTATTAGTGAATCCATACAAATGCAGCTGACATTAGTATTGCCACTCGGGCCACTTACCTTCGAATATGTTGAACGTAAGCTTTAAATACCCTAAATACTTTACGCTACGTATATCGGGCTTGCCTAGATGGACTGTAAATTCATGACACGTTTATAAGGACCAGCTTGAGGCATCTTTCTTGACCGATGGTTCTTTCCATAGCGCATTTCTAAGCCGAATGAAGTAACAAGTTGACCATAATGTACAGATATCATTCTTTGTTCTGTACGTGATATAGCACGAAAACTCTGTTTTTGTTGGAGCTGTAAGCTGAGCGTCAGCAATCACAAAAGTCAGATAAAAAAAAACGTGTCTATGCGCAGTCAACATAAAAAAATGGCTTAGTTCACGTATAAGTAGATTTATATAGTATCTTGTTCGAAGAAGTCTAGCTCTTAAGGCGCTTTACTGTTTTTCATGCTTGCCTACCTTTACTAAATCTAGAAGTGATCTAAATGACAGCTTGTGAACGTGGAAAGTTAAGTTGGCGAACCAGTACAGTCATTCAGAACGTGGAAGAGTTTGTTTGGCTGTTATTTTTCAGAGACAAAACATAATCCCTGAGAGTGTAACATAGAAAGGGCATAGAAAATAGCATACATAGAGAAAAGATGCATATCCTAGATTAAAAAAAATAAAATTAGATTTTAAAAAGATGGGTGGCCAGAGTAAATCTTCCGTACTGATACGACCGTATCTTCAAGTTAACAAACGAATAAGGAAGGGCATTCAGTTAAAGCCTGAATATTCTTAAAGGGCCGGTCGCATAGATAATAATAGTGGTTGATTTTATCTTCATCAATATGATGTAGTTATCAGTGGCTCTATATTAAAATAACTATGAGAAGAATAATAATTATTATTACTACCAGAAGAACATAACGACAATAAATTAAGGTTAATAAGTACTACGGATGAATTTTAAAGTGTTTGTTGCTCACATTTATTTGTAGAATATATATATATATATATATATATATATATATATATATATATATATATATATAATAGAAGGCTCAGTATTATACAAACGAAGGACAAACAAAGCTGTATTAGAGAATATGAGTTGAACGTGGTTGGCGATAGAACAAGCGCGATGACCTTATTATTCTTGTCGGTGCCCTTGCTTGTGTTTGAAGTTTAATCATAACCACTTTCTTCTAATCTAGTTGCGTTTCCACAGTTTCTTAGGCCACTCAGCTGAAATGCCGTTGATGCCGAACTAGAAACAAAACCACTAATCACAGCTACACTTATTTCATACAATATAAATTAACTTCTAAATTATTTCTCTAAGATATTTTGTTATTTATTAATTGTATACTAAAAAATAATGCTTTTATTATTATAGTAGCTCTTACTCGGCTTGGATAAGTACTGATTCTCACACTCTATTTGGACATACATTGTTGCCTCCAGAGACAAAACTTGCATCGTAATACTTGTGTTACGGAGGCAGATTTTATCTTTCTGAAAAATGATACTTTAAGCTTTTACCTTATTTCAGGCGTGATGCGTGATAGATCGCCGCTCAGTTCGACTAGAATATGGAGTATTAAGTATATACATAGTTCTACGTGAATACATGGGGGTCGTTTGAACTGCCGCAAAAACGATGCAGAAACTGAGACCTCAACGATATATATGTATAGATATAATTATTCTGGTTAATAATATAAAGCACTGAAGGAATGAATAATAAAGATATTAATCAAGTTTAGAAATCACTGCATCTGTTAACTACAGTTAGCTATAGGTACCTATTCAGGAACATTACAATTACATTAATATGCATTATCTGTTAAATGTAACGCATTGTCCTTGTAATGCAGAGAACAGTTATTCCGATAAAATATTTTTTATTCCGATAAAACGTTTTGTCATAACAATGAATACTTCAGGATACCAGTGGCAGAGAACCGCCTTATGTCCAAATTTTTGTTGTATGCTTCAGTCTGATAGGCATGTGGTAGGCCTTAAAGACCCCAAAAATGATGCTAAAAACACTTTGTTTACAGATTTAACGTATATAGCGTAAAGCTTTCATAGGGAGCTGTAGCTAAGAGTCTTCTTCCAGTTTTAGGCTTTATGAACAGAATAGATCAGCCTCAAAAAAATAAATATACAGACAAATCTGAGAAAGCGGTACCAAGAAATAGATCATCTATAGCAGCAGCCTCACAAACACAAGTCAAGGCACTACGGTGCTTTATTAAAAGTAAAAATTATCGTAGTAAGCTAGAAGCGTACTGTGTGTAGAGCATGATGTCTATTTGCAAAGAAACGTTCTACTCTTTCAGAAACCGTGGCTTACATAAAATCGCTCTATTTTAATTTTATTGATGTCGTAACCGTACGTTTATGTAGAGTAACTTCACTTCTGCAGCGCGCTTTTTAACTAACACTGAATGATCAAAAACTTTTAAATAACAGATTGATAGACAAATACAGGATAATTTACCTATCATAAGAAGAAACTGCAGTAATGAATAATATATAAAATTATGTATCAGTTGGTGCCTGTCAGCTGTTCTTGAGTACTAAATCTGAAGTAACATAATATTTTATATATATAGAAACGGTCACATGACTGGTAGTGGCTTCAAAATGATACCAGCAAAAAAAGAACCGAATATATCTACATAAATAGTTCTTCATTACGAACCTTATACAGCCAGGATTTTACTTAAATAGAGCCTTACTAAAATGGGCTCCCTCTGCTTTCTGCATGCAGTTATTGGCTTTACGCAATTTTAGGCCGTATTTGCATACGACTGACCCTATCCCTGAAATGCCGGTGTGGATATTTACCAGAGTTTGTCCGTGGATTGTAGAAGGCCAATAGTCTCCGGGCTATTCACGAAAGGGCTCTACATACCAAAAAAATGCTGCGCGTACGGCATGTGGGCCAAAGGCATCATTGGCCTTTTTTTTTGATAAAATTGCTGAACTTTGTTTGCTATAGGCATTCTTATACCCCAAATTGTTATTTAAATTTTGTAAAACATGTGATTTTAACAGGATGGTCTATCCTCCACATAACAAATAACGAAATCGCATTATCAAATAATCGGTTTGGTGAGCAGCTGATCTTTATGCGGGATAAGGTCAAGCTGTATTATCATGAAATAGTAACCTGAGAATAAATATTTGAAGAAAATGAACCATCTTCACGCCCATATCAGCATTTTGGTAGAGGAATTATGCAGGCTAAGTCACTGTGAATAGGGCTAAGGCTTGTAAACGCGTCCCTATGATGCAGCAGTGTCACCGTGTTTGCCTACCTAAGGCATGAAATTCGCTTACCCTCTCCTTCCCGCCTCTCATTGTTCTAGCAGGTCTGTAAGCGAGGGAAAACAAACTTCTCGTCATTCCGGAGAGGCTAGTCGTCTTAATTAACACTTCTAACAAAGGCCGTGCCAAACTTAAAAGCGCGAAACATTTGCTTACTTTTTTAGTTCTCTCAGTTTCGGAAAACCTTTCCGCAGCGAAATTTATCTAGCGCCGTAAAGTTTAATTCCCCTTTCCTTCTTTCCCTCATGCTCTTGTCTGGGTGAGCTTTCCCTTTCCCAACATGGCTACCCGCATTGTGCCGTTCTCCATCTGACAACACGTTTGATCGCGGTAGCTTGTTTCAAAATTTTGTCGGCGTTCCGTGTTTGTGCACAGAATTTCCAGAGAATTCTCATTCTTGCGAAGCAATTTCAGAAAGCTGCTGTGCAATGGAGTCTATCAAGAGCAAGGATGCCTTCGATAAGGCCTCAACCGAGTCCACAAAGTGCGTACACCTTGCTTCCTTTCTTGTTGTTGCCTAGTGCATTGCCGTTCAGTACATGTTATTATAACATTAAATAGGTAACAGTAGTAGGGCTCCAATTCCAATACATACAAACATAACTTTATATTATGTTAAGGCCTTTTTAAATATATTATTAAAATTAAATGTACTGTAACGATGAAAGTAGATTTATTATTTTTATTTATTATTATTATTTATTATTATGCTGACTCCAAATCATATCTAAATAGGAATATAAGTAGACGAACACTTGCATCCAAAAAAAATCTGAGTCGAACGGCTAGCTGTAGCAAGATCTTTTTGTATCCATTTTAGATGCTCATATTGATTAGCCTCTCTTTGATTAAGAAAAAAGCTCCAAGAAACTTTGCTCAGTTTTTTTAAGGTTCTTATTGTTTGCTTAGGGTTGGAGTTCTGTGTACACAAAAAGAAATGATTGCAGAGAGAAACAATGTTTTTTTTAACTACATTTGCAGGTATAGGATGGCATCATAGTCACGTAGGGTGCAATGTATTTATTATAGAGCGTGTAACAATGATATATATATATACCATTCTTAGAGTGAGTTTTATTAATGTCGTAATTCTTTTTCAGGGGTTTTATGGTGGTTCATTTTTTTGCGGCCTCATGGTCACCAGAATGTACGCAGATGGAAGGAGTCATCAAAGAGCTCGCCAAGGATTCTCCCAAAATCAAATTTTATAAAGTGAGTTTTCTCCATTGTAGTGTGTACATTGTACCCAGTTGCCACAAACATTAATTCCATACAGTGGGAACTGCCTAGAAAATTGATTAGCAGAGTAACTATCAAAAACTATGTGGTTAGAAGAGCAGATGTATTTCCTTCATACATAATTCAAGATGAAATTAAAACGAAGGAATTGCATAGACATAACTTTGCTGCATATATTAATTAGTGAGCACTGATAATATTTTTTAGGTGGAAGCTGAAGAATTGGAAGAGATTTTACTTCAGTTTGGTATAACGTCAGTGCCAACATTTCTGTTTCTTCTTGGCAAGTCCTACCAGGAAAAAATGGTAGGCGCAGATCCGCCCCGTTTTCTGCAAAAGATTCACGAACTTCAGAAGAAAATCGACACAGCATGTCTTAGTGACAGAGATTCAAAGGTGATATATGGCTGACACCCATTGCCTAATAAGCTATGTACCGAAAACCAGTAACGATCAATGATATTGTCATCAATTAGTCTCTGACCGTCATACATAGTTCATAACACGAATCTCTACCACACCTTCAGGATGCCCCAACATCTGCTAAAGACGGTGCTTCTTTGGAAGATCGTCTCAAGAAGCTTATTGCACAGGAACCTGTCATGCTGTTCATGAAGGGAACACCAGAAGAAGCACGGTGTGGCTTTAGTCGCAAGGCCATCGAAATTCTTAAGAAGCATGATGTCAGATTCGGCTCATTTGATATCCTCAGCGATAATGACGTTCGAGAAGGACTCAAGAAGTTCTCCGACTGGCCATCTTATCCACAGCTCTATATCAATGGTACTTCAACTCCACGGAATTTGTGATCTCTTAAAAATATTCTGTTGCGTAACCTAATTAGTATTTGTTTATTTTATAACTATTTTGGTAAGTTTCTTTCCACTCGATTGTTTGACAAGACTATCAAGAGATCTCTCTAGTTTCTGTTACTTCGTGCTTTTCTAGGCGAGTTGATTGGCGGGGTGGACATCATGTCTCAGATGGATGAATCTGGCGATTTGGAAGAAGCTTTGAAGCAAGCCGGAGACAATCTAACTGGAAGAGGCAGCTTGAATAGTCGACTTGATAAACTTATTCGCCAGGCCGAAGTGATGGTGTTCATGAAAGGTGACCCGCAGACGCCCCGATGCGGTTTCAGCCGTACGCTAATTAGCATCCTCAATAGAACCGGGTAAGTATCTAGGGCATGGTCGACAAAATAAGCTCTTTGTACGATAAGTTGTCTTAAACTGTATCAGTATGGTAAACTGCAATATCTTCATAAAACATTCAAAACATCGAAACATTAGCCTAGACATGCTGTTGTCTCCATTGCAGCAAATGTCTCATCTAGATTTTTTATATCGCAGTACTAATCTGTTGTACGCCTTCAAGCTGTCATTGAAGATGTTATACATAGAGGGCGCGTCGTAAACAGACGTTAGAGATAACTAAGAGAAATTTTTAGTTAAGTGTTTTCTGCAATTTTTTTTCTTACTACAGCATACCGTATAAGACATTCGACATACTTAGTGATGAGGAAGTGCGACAGGGATTGAAAACCTACTCGAATTGGCCAACATATCCACAAATCTACGTCAAAGGAGATCTCATCGGTGGCGTGGATATCATTCAACAGCTTAACGAAGCAGGCGATCTTGTGGCCACTCTAAAAGGAGAGTCCTGAAGCTCACACATTGCCAAGTCTATAATTTATCATATAGATATTGAGCAAGTGGAGAATATAGAGGAGATTTTGATCTACAGAACAACATCAAACTTAGAGAATTAATGCAATTAAAAAAATTTTATGACTTTGATAATAGTGTACTTGAAAGCTTCAGTAGACGGCTTCAGTAAACGATTTCTAGCTTGACTGTCAGAAATTTCATGAACATTAGCGGTATATTCAATGAATCCACATGATGAACCTGTTAAGCTCCTAGAAGAGTTCTGTGTGTTCAAATTAGATCATTGACCATTATAAATGGCAATCAACCTGTACTTACGTACTAAATGAAGCCTTCAATTGACACCTGGACCTTTAGGCAGCGGGGGTATTCATTTGGTGCCAGCTTTTTGTACGCTAAGGCAATTATATGTATATAACAATTATGCCGTACTAAAGATACAAGAATTCCTGAAAAATTCTTCGTTTTTATTTGCTAGTATAGCATGTGTTCAATTAGTGTATTGTTGTAATTATTATGCTAATCATTGTTTCAATATTTAATATGCGTTTATTTGAAGTTACCAGTTTTCTAAGATTCGATGGAAAGAAAACCAATGACTGTACCTAAGATATCAACAAATATATATCTCTATATTAATATTAGTGTCAACTCATTTACGATAATTACCTACGTAGTATTGTTAACCCTATCATGTACTTTGGAAAAGAAATACATTCTAACAGTTGGCCAATCAGTAGTCCTAGAAATATTTCATCAAAGGTTCCCCGAGAAGCTGTTCCATTTCTTGAACGACCTTTTGTGCCAGATGTTCCACCTCAGGGCGGTCATCTTCCATTAGCTCAGCGAGGAATGGTACACTTTCCGGCAATAAAGATACGTAGTCATCTCCAAGTCGCCTTACCATTGCAGCAAATGTCTGAAGCGCCGAAAACCGGATGCGGGCCGAACTGTTCCTCGTCTTGAACAACACTTTGTTATGGAGGTCCTTGCAATCAGCGTCTGTACATGCAACCGCCAGATTAACAATGGCTGGGGTTACCCGCGTGAGAATTCGTCGTTCATATGTACTTGCCGAGCTATCAATTGTGTTTTCGATCTCATCAACGATAGATTTTGCAACAGTCTTGTACATCTCAGATGTAACAAATGATTTTCCACCATACTGGAAGCAGTTCGACAGTGTGCCCAGAATCCATGCCGTTGTTTCTAGCAATACATCTTTCGTTTCTTTTGCTACTTCAGCACGATATTTGTCCAAAACGTTTACAGCCTGCTGTATAAACTGTCCTACAAAAAGAACGAATAGTCCCTTCAGAGTGTCGGACAACTTGTAGCAAAGGTGGAAAAATGTGGCCGTACGATGGAAACGGCAATCGTTATCCATCTCTTCGGCAACCAGTGTGGCCCACACGTAAAGCTTCATGATGAATGGCCGGAACGTCATTTCGGACATCTTTAGCGATAAAGTTGTGACACAGTCGACAATGAACCCTTCAGCGTTGGTCACATGCTCAGAATCCATCTGTTCGGCTGCTGCTTCTTCACGGAAATATAATAGACGTAAAACCAGACTCTGTACCACTTCACGCTGTTGATCAAATATATGACGATCACTTGACTCAATGGCCGCTTTGAAGATTTTGAGCAGATGATTAAGGTAAAGCGGCTGTTCCTTCACCACAGGCTGACCGGTTATACAGTCTTCAACTGCAGGTAGCAGGACTCGCAACGAAATACTTTCGCCAATATGAAGGCATATCTTTGTCAATTGTTCCTTAAGAGCTTCGTCACGCTCTTTGAGTTGTTGTTCAGCACAAAGTCGACAAACGTGGCTGATGAGTTTAGGTAGATGTGGTGAAAGAAAACCTGCTAGATTTCCAACGAGACGATGATAACTGACCACAAGGCCAAGAACAATGGCTTCACTCTTCTTAGCACCATTTTCTGAAATGATCAAAAATCGTTTCATGAGCTTTGCGAAATGATTTAACATCTTCGTGGGGCAGGAGTGGCACAGTTCTGCAAACAGGAGCAGGACCCCGCCTACGATAACATCAGATAGTTTGTCATGGCTGCTGAATAGCTTGTCTACGACGTCGAAGACTTTATTTATCTCATCGTTTGCAGCTGGTATTCTCCTGCAGATAAGTTTCAGAGACACTAGCGCGGTCTGCCGACCCATTGTATCCTGCTCACCAGGTGACTTGCTCACCAGTATAGAGAGCGGCTCCACCAGAGAGGCAATCTGTTCACAGTTATCGAAGAACGTTTCAGCAATTAGCTTGTTGTTAAGCATGTCCATTGCATTTCTACGAATCGACGGCAGTTCCTGTGTTAGTAGCTGTTGCATTACAGCCACCAGAGTGTTTGGTCTGAGGACGCCGTTTACCCGGTCGACACAGTCGTGCAACAGCGAAATGTTGGACTTCCAACTCTCTAGCAATTCATCGTCGGCGCATTCCTGAATGGCAGCATTCAGCACATGAATAGATTCAAGGCTAACTGCAAGAAGAGCCTGATACATATTCTCGGCCTGTCCTAGTTCGTTCTCATCAAGTTCAGCTGCCAATGAAATAAAGTTTGTTCCGGACAGGACCTGCTCGACGAACATAGCGGACACGCTTTTGAAGTCGGCAAGTCTTTGATCACTGCACTGTGCTGCGTTTACGATCTCCTTGTCTATCATTGATTCATTGGCTTGTTTTTGGTATAGTGGTACCGAGAGAGCAAATTGCAGCAGCCGATAACACGTACAAAGTGTAGTGTCTATACTAAAATCACCAACAAGGCCGAGCATGAACTCCAAGAAATCAGAGTCCTCAAGGTCGGCCTCTTTCTCAAGTAGTTGGTCAATCATTTGTGCTACCAGTGTCCACGCGTAATCCGCTGACCCAAGTGTCTCAATAAGTTTCCTGAAAGTTTACAACACGAAGTAACAAGGATGAGATGACGTTCGTCAGAATCATTCAACAAAAGTAAGAAAGTACTTGTACTAAAGATAAGTTCTTTACTCGTATGAGCGTTCTCAATAAATATCCAAACTAAGGCACTAATATCGGATAGAAATGGCGAGCAATGAAAAATGCTTTTGGGGTTTAGCATGACCGTTTGAGTTTCCAAACATTTTATGAACACTCGTGGTATTAAGATAGCCGCAAAATTTACGGTTTTGATTTATCGTGACATCATACGTGACAAACTATAATTGATTTGCTTGTATTAACACATAAATAATGCAATCCACAAAAACTGGTAGCTGCTATACTCACTTAAAAATCGGGTATCTTCTGTGCTCCGGAATATCCGGCCAAGAATCGACGAAGACACCGGTGACCTTTGACACAACGTCCTTGTTCGATTTGCTCTTGGACGCTTCAAGCAGAATGGGGATTACCGATTGGATGGTTTGCACAACAACTTGGAATGAATATTCATCCTCTTGGCGTAGAAGCGACGTTCCCATGAACGTGAATACACTAATCATGTTTTGTAAAACCTATAATTCAGTTACACATAAAATTGTACATGTGAGTTTGTGAATTAAACCAATTAAAGCCAAAAGGAAAATCGAAGACGATAAACAACAACTTCAGTAGACACTGTATATTCTACTGGAATAATGATCTATTCTAGATTCTTCTAGACGCCGCAAATGTCCTCATATAAATGTCTGCATTAAAATAAGAGGCATGCAGAGAGTAACTAAAAGGTTTAATTCACTAAAACAGACGTGATTATTACGTTAGCCTTTCTGAAAATCATACTTACGTCATTTTCATATATATAAACCTTAAAAAAATTTTGCAGACATACAGGGAATCCGCGAACCTTTCTAAAATGCTGCCCGAAACAGTTTCTTACCTCATCGGGGTATAGGCGCGCCATATGGTTGAGCATGACCAGAATAGCATGCTGGGTTTGGGCACACTGGCTTAACCGGAGTGCCTTAACCAGCAAGCTGATCTGGTGCCGATGAGGTCGGAGTAACTCGTGGGAGCAGGTTCCATGCACCTGTAGGCACGACAGAATGCACTGCTTCACGTATTCAACATTCACGCAACCGACCGGTAATTCAAGCGATCGACGAAGTACGTCATAAAGAGCCGTTACCACCCCTTGGGCATCCTGTTGTTTCAGCTCGGTTACGCTATGCAGTATCTCAAGCAAAATGACGGCACGACGCCATTCTGCCGTCTCGAGTGGGTCATCCGAAGGTTTGATTTCCTTCACATTTGTTTCTTTGAGGCTAGTGCGCATTCGTTTGACGTCTCTTACTGAGTGTAGGTTAGCCAACTCATCTACAGTTACCTTGGATAGCTCAACCACAACTAGTTTTGTTTGATGCTGACAAATAATTCTGAGAGCGCTCTCAGCCGCATCGCGTTGCGATTCTGATAGCACGTCAATCATCGATGACAGCAAATAATCTATGAGTCTGACTATTTCGGTATCGGCGATCTTTCCGATAAGATCTGAGGACAAGCACTGCAAACCAAGCATTCTCATCGTTTCGTTTGAGCTCGTCAGTACTCCAAAGAGTATTCTCTGCTGGACATCGCTGAGTTTTTTAGCGGATCCTAGCGAAAGTTTCTCAAGGCATAATTTGATTAGTTCACGGTTCACCGAGTCGATAATGAGTCCTGGACTGTCAATATAGCGATGTACGATATCCATGCACACATCGATTGTCGACGGGGAAGCGACATTTCGAAGCATTCGAGCAATTCCTAGTCGCACAATCGGCGTTAGCCCTTCATTTGTAAACATTCGGTTAAGGAAAGTTATCTTATGGGATCTGTGAAACGTAGCGACGCATTTGAGGACGCTCTCGACGTCAGCGATCGAACTTCCATGCTTCACAAGGTACTCGATAAAAGCGTCCTTATTACAGTGCTCCAAAACAGAAATTGCAAGTCGGCGAATTCTCTTCGATGGCGATAGCAGAACGATAACTATTGACAGCGTAATAAGTTCTATCGAATCTCCGTCCACATCACCAATAAAATGAGCCAGTAGACAAAGCGAGTGCGCTTGTAGTTGAAGATTGTCATCAGATTGCACACCCGTGAGATGTCCAAGTAACATGTCGCACAGGAAATTGCATCTGAACTCTGCTGACGGTAAGCATGAGCTAAACAAGATGTGCAGCATATCTCTAAAGCTAATTTCTTTTTTTTGCCGTCCAACGGCAATGGAGAACACCCTTCGGAGGAAAGCCACTTCACTGCTGCGGGTGTCCACGTTTTTGTGCCACGAGGGAACCTTCTCTAGCTCTTTAATGGGTTGCACATTTTTCAAAAGTGCTCCAATAACTCTGGTCACACAGCGAATCGGAAGCGCTCCGCCAGCCAGGGTTTCGATCTCGTCACCATCTGTTTCCTCTAAGTCTAAAAGCATAACCTGTAATGTGTCCAACGCTGCGTTTAAGGTACCGGTGTTAAGCGGTTTAGACTGGATGATAAGGTGCTCCACAAACCGAAGGCTTGCATAGCGCGTTTTCAGATTTGTGCCGCTGTCACTAAGCAACCACTGCACATAATCATCGATCGCCGAAGCTGAAAACCCCTTGGCCAATGCTGCAGCAATGGAGTCACAAATTTCTATTGCTGGCATATTATCGGAAACTGTACATTTGGCCAGATGCTTTAGTTCTTGATGACTTTTAACAACATTTGATTTCAGACACTCATCAATTATTGCCAAATCAAACGATCTAAACACTACTGACATTGTTAAGAGAAATCGTAGAACTGAACGCTCGTTTGCGGACGGAGCAAGGCCGTTACATACTAGTTGTATCAGCTTCTGGTTGACATGTACCCATTTCTTTTTACGGATGGTGCAAAGCCGCTCTGTAATTATGCTAATAGCTTCATCTGCATCGACGAATTTGAGAAATGTTTCGGCAGACAATGAATCGATAAGTGCATTGTAAACTCCAACGTCCGTCTCTGTGGCAATAAGATTCTTGAGAGACCTCTTCACAAATGGATCCGCCTCCGTCGTCGGAGCTTTGCTTATAATGGTTGTGACTGCAGACATCCGTATATGTGACATCTTGCTCATTAAAGCAAGGAATACGGTCTCACCGTTGTCGCCTACAACTGAGTGCTGGATCCCAAGACTACATTCAGACGCAAGTTCAGCAATTAGTTCACGGTCGCTAGTTTGGAATCCTTTAACAATCTCTGCATCCAATTCATCGCCAGCACGTTGTTTGAGCTTTTGGAGAATCTCACTGGCAGCTGGTATGCATTTTTTCCCTTCGTTGCTTACACGCACAACAAGATATGCCTTCAAGAACTGTTCGGCTACCGTTTGGCGTTGTTCGGTTGTCTCCGTAATAAAATTGAAGTATGGCAGAACAAACGCGCCTACGTCGTTGGCTGGAACTTCCATAAGAGTATGTACGAAAAGGCCGTGTATGAACAGTCTCATAAACTTATCCGCATGGCGACTTCCGCTGATGGCTGCCTTTAATCTCTCAGCTAGATTTGTAAACCCGAGAAAACCTTTAGTTACTTTCTGAGGCAGTGTATCTAAGTTCGTTTGATAGCGGTATGCAGTGAGTAGAGCAAAAAGACCGCTATTAACGCTCTCTTCATTCAAGGACTTGACCATTGTAATAAGTAACAATTGAAGGAGGTCGCTTTTTAATGCCAACTGTTTTCTAGCCAACTGAGCAACCATCATAGCATTTGCGCTGACCCATTCAACATTGCCGTCTTGCTTGGCATGCACAAATCCATCAGCAACATGCGCGATAATTGCTGACACTAGCTTATTATTGATACGATGTCCATGCAGCTCCATCACTCCTAGAATAACTCCAGTAGACAGGTTGATTGCTGGCCGCAAAGCGCTACCCTGGTTCACCTTACGCATCGCCAGCAGCGAATCACATACGAAACGAAATAGACCAGGGCTTTTTGCACACTGTGCGATCAATGCTTTTTTCGTTAACACAGAACCCTGGGCTTTTATAGCGGACATGAAGTGCCAACACGTTGTTTCATCTGACAGATCGATCAGTTGGATTATTCGAGCAAAGATATTTGTTTCATGAAACGGTAAAATGGCCTGCATAAGGGCTACTGTGTTAAATTCGTGAATGCGAAAGCGGTATAATAACCACTCCAGTGCCTTGTGGGCTGGACGAAGTAGGAGATATGGCGAAAGCCTGTGCAAAAAATCTGTCATCGTTGTGTTCAGCTGCTCATTCTGTTCCTTTGTTTGGATCTAAAGATTACAAAGAAACAATGAAAACATAGAAGTGAACGTAATGTTAGAAACCTTGGCTTTTCTGAAGTCCGCTCATGAAATGACAGTAGATTATTTTGTTGTTACTATCTTACCCAAGTATGTACACAAATCATTTTCTTTGATGAATATAATATGTTACGAGAAATTCTTGTCAGACTTCTAGATAATAAAAGTTATAGAAAAGTTATATGCTTTTCGTTTAACTATGCCGTTAATGCTACCTGAGGGCTAAACCTGTACTTGCATAGAGAATTATAAACGCACTCAGTATACGAATGAAGTCAAAGACAATAGGTGAACTTACGGCCCTTTGAAAATCCTTAGAAGCATCACTAAACAAGGTTCTATCGTATCGTCCAAAAACGTGCTGATTTAACTTGCACAGCTCTTCGAGCCCTGAACATCCAATCGCAAAGATAATGTCTCTATCCAACGTCGCAGCTTCCTTGGCATCGAACAAAAGTGACGCACGGCTTGTAGTCGTTCTTTGATCAAGCAGTGCGGTTTGAGGTGTTTGCAGCTTTCGTAGCTGCGCTGCTAGAGTTGTCATGCTAGTAGCCATAACGGCCTTCGTTTGTTGGGATCTCAACAAGCTAATTGAGCCTGGAGAGTATTCGATTCTGACTACCAAAGTTTTTGTCGGCAGGAAAACATGGAAAGAAACGGAGCAATATATACAGTCACCTACTGCAATAATAATTATGTAGCGAAAATATATTCATAAAAAAATATCTACCAAAGAAATCTAAGAATGGGCCACGTGAAGCTGCTTCACAATGCCGAACCAGAGTTTATTGTTTGAATGCGTAGCAAATACGTTAAATCGTTTCTCCAAGACTAAACCGATGTATTGTGGAAGTTTTTAATATATTCGTCTCCTCTGCACTGTTATATTATGCACATATTGTGGTTTTCTTGGTAATATTAGTAAATGGCTGCCAAAGCAAGAGTGACGCTCTTTGATCATTGACAATAAACAACCAACTAATTTATTCGACGTTGCTTTCATATAACAGGCTTTTGAGTTTGAAATGTCAAAACTGCTGAGCGTACTCGTGTGTGAACTGGCATCGCAAACGTATAATTCCGTATAAGCGTTGCAGTACTACAAAATGAAATAAACGTAAAATAAAAAAATTAAATAATCATAGCTTTCTGCAATACAACGGAATAGATCAAAAAACAGGTAAATAAAAATCGTCGTTAATAATCAATATAAATCATAACAATGGGAGTATAACAATTTTTGAGTGAGGCAGATCTCAGACGAGGTCTGTGCGTTCCTTCCATATAACCAACTGTATTTGTATATGACCATGGAATAATATGCATAAGCAAAAATATTATGTACCCTTAACAATATATATACAGTTGGTAAATTAAGCAGGAGCTAGCATAATCCAATAGTCTTTGCTTTTTAACGAGAGTCCAATCTTTTTTTCGACTTGATCCTAAGTGAAACTGCACTATGTAAATTTCTAATATATTGGTCTCTGGATATTACAAAGATATTTATTTTTAATTACTTGATTACTTACTAATTAAGTACTCGATAATCTCTTGGTAAAAAGACAACCGCATTGTATTTTTAGGCAGTCTACATACATATCCGTTATACTTGTGATAAACAACATGTTATTAAAATAAGTTCACGATCAGTATATGATGTGCGTTGCGCAACACGAAGATAGAAAATAATTAGTTTTAATAATTACTTTCAAAGGAGATCGTCAAGCGCTTCGAGCTGGCTGCCAGCGTATTTTTTCATCGTTCGTGTTGTTTTTAGTTCTGGTGATGACGAGTTTCCGTTTGGTTTGAAACTTGCCTCATTTTCGTCATCTGAAATCGTTGCCCGAAGCTTTTTCATTCCTTTCTGCGGAAAGGTTTCTTCCTTAAGCCATTGCTGCGCAAGCTTGTTATCTCCTATGGCCGCTTTGTCATCACTCTCTTCCGGGTTATCATCGTCGTCGCTAGAGACTTCGCGCTTTCCGAATTTCTTGTTTTTCTTCTGACTATTTCCCGACCAGTTTTTCTGTTTACTCCTACTACTCTTGATGATCTCATTACTGTAATCATCTATGTCTTCTTCGCTGTCCCGATTTTCTTCAGATTCGCTTCGACGTCCTCTGACACTGTGTTCCTTATCCGAGTCAAATAAATCTTCGTCATCACTTCGACCAATCTCGCCGTCATCCTTAGAATCGACTCCTCTATTTTTTATGTTACTTCCTGAAGTACCAGCGCCTCCGCCAACTTCATCATCATTATCGTTATCACTAATATGGTCGTATTGTTTTATACAAAAGTGTTTAGTGGATCCGCGCAACGCATACTGAGTAAAGTCATCTTCATGCTGAGAAGCATCTTCAGACTGATCAGTATCTTGTGACCTCTTTTGGACGTCGGCGCTCAACCCGTAATCGTTTTCGTCAAATTTTTCGGTAATCGCGTTCCCGACTTGCTTTTGAAGTTCACGTATTTTTCGTTTTTTCTCATTAAGCAATAGTGCAAACTTAGCAAACTCCTCTTTACGCTGTCTCTCAATTCTCATAATTAGTTCACAGGCTTCATTGCTGACATTTCTGATATCGCGTTTTTTTGCTAGGCTCGCTGCAAGTACTTTACTCTGCTCACAACTCGCTTCAATAACCTCATTCAGGGCTTGTTGGAGGCTCATCGAATCGAGATGAACATTATTAAACATATCTTCGCCGTCATTCTGTATCGTAAGTCTAGATTCCTGCTGGAAAGCGTTTAGTTTTCCACACGGCTTAAGTAGATTACATACTTTGGGATGTTTCCTAATGTCTAGTTCGGTGGAAAAGCATTGCCCTTTACTTGTGAGCACTATAATGATATTAATGAAATGACTGGTCTTCATTGCATGCAACCTACCACCTGGTGGTTTGTTTAGCTGATGACAAAATGATTCCATAGCGTTTAGTTTACAAAGAAATCACCACTTTATAAATTGTTATTTGGCAAAATAGGCACCCAGCCACATGCTGCAGGCGACGCAATACGACGAAATCAAAACATACCAGCCGCCGACAATCACTTTACCGCCTTTCACGAGTGCCAAACGCTTCATAGGCTCTTGTGGGATGCGCTATTCTGTATCGAAATGCGGCACTTTGCTGATGATCATGTCGAACCCACAGGAAAAATTTCGGTTACACAGTATAACAATTACTTACAAACTTGGAAATTGTTCTACATACCTAGGAGCGGCTCGCAGAAGAACAACAGTAAATAAGAACTACTTCTTAAGAGGGCACACGATTAAAACATAGTCGCACGTGCTCCGACTGGCCAGCTGTGTTTATTTTGCAAATGCTTTCATTTGTAGTTTTATTTTGAGGCGAAGCTCTAAACGGCGGGAAAATTGAATATCGGTCTTGCGTTTCTTGTGCATATAAGGTGCATACGCTGTAACTGAATATGAAAATAACTCAGATCAAACTACCTCGCAGGCTTCTTAATTTTATTTTGGGTGTTCTGTCCATCTTCTGGATTATCTAGTTATCTCGAAGCCGGCATGAAGATAAATGACGTAATTTGAAAAACACACTCATGAGTGAAATCATATGTCAAGACGGAATGACAAAATTTCCCATTTCTCGAACAGAAACCTCTAATAATGTTTAGATAACTTCTGGTTTAGCTTTGGATTGGAGGTAATAATACCTTGCGTCGGCCGGGAATCGAACGCGGCTCACCCGCGTAGACGGTAACTATTCCAGCGTTAAAATACCAACATGCCATGAAGTTCTACAGAAGTTCTCGTAAAAAAAATGTGAACTGGCTAGGTTCAAATAAGAAACACCATTTGCCTGCTACTCTTTGGGACACGTTGTGTCTTCGAATCTGAGCGTGAATGAACTTCGTTTTGTGCTGGGAGCCAGCCGTCCGATGGAATACCTAACAGCAGTCGTAGAGTCGCGGGTATTGCACTTTCAATTTTTTTAATAATAATAAATAAAAAAGTAGTATTTAACTTTATCTGTTTATTTCCTTTTGAACTTTCCTATTCCATTTTAAAAATTATTTTATATGGGTTGTATACAGGACAATTGACGAAGGTAAAAATAAATGTGTAAATTTATATATAGAGCCTATATTCCAATATTGGTGCAAATTAACTAGGACAGTTGTAACAACAACTGACGCGTAGAGGTATCATAAAAATTAATCGATGAGAAAACCGAATTCCATAGTATCTGGAGAGTGTACAAACATCTGACCATGAATGGCAAGATGGAGTATGCCATGCAGAATCGCACACAAATATAATAGTTCTATTTATGTTTTTTCTGCGCTTGTATAGCGCGCATGATTTGCATATACTTAGAATGGATCTCGTGTTTTAACAGAGTCTACATATTAAGCACGACCAGTTTACTTAGTGGGCTTGTCTCTCACCCCTTCTAGATAATTTTTTTTTGAAATATACTTACAAAGTGTTAATAAGACACTTTGTACGAAGCGAAGTGTCAGTAACTCAATAACAATTTGTTTACTCTAAAACACACTGCACCATAACTAAAACATATAAATAGCATTTATTTTCTTTTTATCATTCCCTCTTTGTTTTCACTCTCTTGATGTTTCTGCGTCTTGTATTGTTTTGTTGCAATTTCGTTGTATGCTTTGCTCTAGTTATTATATACATTTACTTCGCCGATTTTTGCATGTTGTTTCGGTGTTCGAATCACGCTCACACGCCGTAATCCACGTTTTCTTTTCGCTGCTACCAACAACTCCAGCTGCATTGTCAACAAACCAAGTGTGGGCAGGCTGGCGATCTGTACGATTTCATCCTCCCATTTTTTAACTGGATGTCTTTAAGAGGACGAAAAGTTTCGGCCACTTTACACACGAATCAAACTGCACACCCGACTTCACTTTCTTTAGCTTTCAGAGCTTACCCTATCGTGACTTATCGTCATTAATAACATCAGAAAAGTATATTTTACATAAATAGCTTTGGAGAATCCAGGTGATGGGAGTGTGAATCTGTACATAGTCATTTATCATGTCATCCAACTTGGCCATACATAAAACGCAGTAGAGATTCAGCATCAATTCCCTGTGAAAACGCATATACTATGCACTCGTATAAATATATATATATATATATATCCACTTCGTTGCCTTACTATGGGTACCCTATTAGGTACCAGCAAAGTTAATGCAGTGCTTCGCCTATTTCTGTCCCTGCACATGATACCCTTGTGTACCATTTTTGTAGAATGCATTCGGCTAAGTACGCATCCGAGATACTAAATAACGCCTCAGAACATGTTTAAATTAGCTTCGGTTTTCATTATACGTTAATTGTATTCTAAAATGTTGCACAATATTCATCATTCTGCCCAGCCATTCAGATTGTATTTCTCCAAACACTTCGTAGTTAACACGTGAGGGCAGTCACTAGCTTGTTGTTGGAAATAGCTTGGCTTTTTTCGCATGCGATACTCAGACACACAAACACCAACTAAAAATTATCGATTCAATATTTTTTTACATGCCTATAACGGTTTTGCGTTCGTTTCGATTTTATGCCACACACTTAGTCTAGGACAACAAAGGCCTCCTCTCTATAAACGGGCCCTTTGATCCTTCTCCGATCATACCCATTGCCGGGCTTTGTATGGCCTTAGCGGTTGATTTCTCATAACTGTTACAGTAGGACAACGAGTGGATAGGCAATTTTTCTTGAATTTAGACTGACGCTATTGTTGGATTTGATTAGCCACGTGCAGTTGTTCTTCGTGCACATTATTCCTTAAATTTGCGTCACGTCTATTCTTAGTTCCAATCGTGTCATTTTCGTAATGCCATTTCTCTACATGTTCTATATGATAATGATTACAGAAGTGTAGCCGTCCTCAATCAAACACTGATGCTACTCGACCCGACGTTGCTAACCGGATTGAAGTTTTCTGACTGAAGTCTCCATTGTTTCGCTCGGCTTTGAAGACACCTTTTGAAACTGACGATACTCTAGGAGCTTTGGCAGTTTTGGATTTATGCATGGGTCATTTTTACTTTTAAATCTAATTCTCATTAATTAGCAAGAATCTGACAGAGATTAAGAGTCTGTCGCCTCGATATACCAGTATCGTTTAGCAGCTGTTGTTTCGTAATCTGTTTTTGCCTCCCCCATCAATGTTAGTTTCTGAGCAAGTTTTCATTATTTCCTTTTTTTTTTTTTATATACGTGTACGGCCCATTATTATTCAGTATAATTTTGAAACTTTAGGTTACAAGGCAGACCGATGCCAGGCGTAATGAGCTTGAGCCTGTTGATGGGTCGTTTGAAAATGAACAGAAGTATTATTGGATATGGCAGACGCTGAAGAGGATATGGTGCCTTTTGTTATCGAAAGCGTTGGCCTCAGTGCAGAGCCGTCATTAAACTGTTGAGTCGCTTTGTGCAACTTATCAACGTAATCATGGACACCCGAGGCGGCCATCCATGCGTAGACCGGCGAGGGGAACGATGACTGGGGATCGTCATAATACGTTAACAAATAATCAAATCCGTTCTGCAAGAAGACAAAAATTGATTGAACGATTAAATACATAGCAACTTTTAGTTGCCTAAACTTTTGACGCGCGAGACATAGTCTAACAAAGCTTCGAGTCATTTACTTATAGGTGTGCTTTCTGAAGTATGCAACAAAAAACTTTTTAGTTCTTCGTCTACGATTGTTTATAAAACGACTGACTAGTAGTCAGTTGTCACTACCTACACAACGTAGCTGTTGAGGCGATTTACAGTAAATAAAGTGGAAGCTTTTTGTAGCCCACAAGCTAATCACTGGTTTTTCTTAATTTTGCTACGTTCCCATAATTCGTTTCTGCTGTAAGTTACGGTCTAACCATTAGTCCTAAAACGACTAATCGGGAAAAAATTTGTTAAACATCAAACATTGTAATATCCAAATTGAAATGTTGTGATTAACTTTATCAATAGAATGTACGTAAAAACGTTATATACCTATGGAAGAAGCTAGAAAGGAGATGACACCAGTCGCTTTTTTATAGAGCAACTTTCTTTCGATTTTATATATTTCCTCTATATGTGTCCTTACAGTACAATTTTTAATTGACTGCTATTATAGCAGCGATCGATATTTTCATCGCGGCCCCGCTCCAGTCGCTAATATTACCTCATCAAATGAGTTGTGTGGCGAGATGACCATGTTGGACATGTACTCATTAACTCGAACGACACCTTTGCGAGGCGGGCATTGCGGATGCTGTGTAGCGTGACATACAACGACCATACAAGCTCGCTCGGTGTCGACAACGCTTCGGCGAACAAATACGTAATCGCGAGAACTCAGTGGAAACTGAAACCAGCGTAAAAAGCCCACATCAAGTAATAATAATAATGTTAGGGGTGGAGCATTGAACTTGAAATTATTTCTTCCATCATCCAACTTTCAAACAATATTGGAAGAGCTTAGAACGAACATGCTGAGAATTCATAGCTCGATTACCCCATATAGACTCCATATTCAATTAGGTATACCATTTTGAAGGTAGAATTTGTATTTGATTCAACTATTCTTTTAATAGTGTCACTGCACACCTTCGAATCAGACGTAAAGTAGCACACTCATACACATAATCGGTGATGGTTTGCGTATAAAGGAGACATATCTAAGCATCGTATAGAAGAAAGACCTAAGGTAAATTTCCATTTCAGACCTCGGATTAATACTGGTTAACAGCTTCTAGCAAAGTAATTGCAGTTCGTCTCCTCGCCGTCTAAAGAACCTTGCCTGTTGTCATAAATTATTGCGGGATACCTTTCCGTTAGCACAACCGTTGGCCATTACAATCCAGCGATTGCTTCCGAATGAATCTTTTGAGTGCTTTTCCACCCTCTACTTTCGGCTTGAACGTCACGCATGATTATTTCTATTCCTAAGTCACTTCGCTCCTTGGTTTTTGTTGTTGCTATAAACGTCTGCCACCACTTAACCATGCGCCTCCACCGAGGGGAAGGCCGATATTTTTTGACTATTGTCATATGCTTGTCTTATCTCCTGGGATCAGTTCGGCACAGTTCATCGGCCATGTTCTTAGGACATTGGCTGTATATAAACAGCGCCGAATACCAATGGCGAGCTATAGACTAACTCATGGTCATCAGCTATTCCAGGAAACGGGACGGGCGAGAGATGAGGGATCGAGAGAGGACGAAACGCTTAAGAAAGGGATAGCCCTAGCCATCGCTTTACTTATTGGACCAATAACCTCGTGGCAATGCTCCCAGTCGCTTTTACAGATAACAAAGATAAATGCGACTGAGTCAGATTAGATGATAACCTGGTTACGACCCGTTGTCGGACGATAATTAAATTGTAGTAAAGAAAAGAGGTTGGAATCGCATGACTATCGATTCGATTATGAAGCACATACAGTAAATGCGGTATTATATGGGCAAGCATGTCCGAAAAAAAGGTATCCACGTGGCACACGTTCTAAGAAACAATGATACATTCACTACCAAACTTCGTGACCTTTAAAGCACTTAAATACTTTTCGTCCCTATTACTCGAATTTTAGGACACTGAAATCTTAACTGAGGTCCTGTGAAAGGAAAACATAATTGTAATGCTTGGTCGAAACTACTTCAAAAATTCTGCTTCGAGCAATCTGTCACTGGTACTGGATTACGTAACTAAGGTATGACCTTCGAGCGATCGGACTTTCCGAACTTACCGGATAATACATGTGCCAATAGACAACGTCGTTTTGTGAATCACTCTCGACAACGTCGAGTTGAACAACGAGTTTATCCCACTTTTTTCGATAATCTGTATCACATTGGACGGCAAAGAATGCTCGAGCCGGGACGTCTGTGAATGTTCCGTACACTGCAACATAGATCGAAACAATAGAAAGCAAGTATTAATGAATTTTAAAGGCAGCCATGAATATTCGTGAAACTGAACACACACTCTTAAGATTAGCAATGACCAAACAAAGCTGTCTTACATTGAGAATTCACAACCGTAACAAATATCTCTCTGCCTAACACCAAAATATGTATACCTCGCCTGACCTCTTACGAAACCCATACAATACTTGTTGAATCGCTGCATCGTAATATCCCAGTTGCTATTGCGTATAAATTCATTTATTCAAGGTATTATAGATTAGTGCTTCTAAATTCCATTCGAAGCTTCGGCATTAGTCTAAGGTCTACTAAGGACGTTGCATTACGCGATACGACATCAGCTTTCCGATGGCAAAGTGCATGCTACTATGACGGTGGATTCCACTAAATCGCCTAAAGCGAAAGGTCTCGTCAGTTTTCACTAAATGATACTGACCATCGTTTTTGAATAATTATCGTAAACACAATACCCTCGTATATTCGGACCATATACTACGAACCTTTGTATGTGTAGTTGGCTTTGCCGGTTTCACTTTTGCGCCAGATGTGCAATCGGTCTGATTCGACAACCGGTTCGAAGCCCTCAGACCGCAAATGTGTTCGAAACTTTTCCATATTTAGCTTGAGAGCGTGTCCGGTTCTGCGGTCACATTTGGCAGAATGTGTGCAACATGGCGTTGACGGTGGCCGCTTCTTAAGTATTTCGAATTCATCGATACAGCTGATGCAAAGAACAAAATAATTGAACGCAATATGGAACAAATTGAAAGTCCAGTTATCTGATATATTTTTAAATACATGAGGCGTAGGAATCACTGTAAATAGGCTCATTTTCAAGAAAACGCTTTTCTGAAAAAGCAGACTGAATGACGCCTCTAAGTTATAATGTTCTTTTGTTGTCTTTGTGAAAAAATAGAAATTGCGCACTAATAAATACTATCTATATAGTACTTATGAGATTATTACGAATGCAACTACCCTAATGAGAAGTAGTTCTTCTCGAATTCGCAACGCACCTCGCGATTTCATCATCGGAGATACCTTCATCCTGAAAGCTAAATCCTGCTGCTCCTAACAGAAACATCGGGGTACGCTTTCGAATTGCCGTCCTTAATAAATTATGAACAAAAGCCCGGAAGAACTGTTGACCAAAAGCGGACCTGTAAACCGCGTGAAGCTGCAGTGCCTTTCTCACTCGATTATGAACGTAGATATTGGCTTGGCGAGTAAACAGCCCACCTAACACAGAGAGCGTCGATAACATTCGGTTACTGCACAACGGAAGCATAATGTAGCCAATACAGGAACGATACGTGAAAGAAAAAGAAAAACATACGTTAATTGATTTTCTTAAAAATTATTACTGCTTTTTAATTGTATCTCTTCTAAACACTAATTCTCGTATGCTAAACCTATTCTCTTTACACGAATCCTTGTCTGCTTTCAGTTTTATGAACGAAAGATGATGCAAAAACGCGCCTGTATAAAGTAGCTATACTATTTCAGTGCTTTGAACCACAGTTCCGAAGAAACACTAGCCCACTTTTTACTTGAAAAATTAGCATTAAATATCCATGTCGTTTCAGCACGGCATTTTCTAACATTATAATATTTTAATAAATCTAACAGCTTGCTTCAACGGCTTGTCGGCATTTTATAATTGCTTTAAAGGTGTAGTTATATTTTAAAACAGCCGACGGCACCGTTGGGTGTTATGAACCCAAGACATGAATCAGGCATGGGCAAATCTCAAGATTAATTTCACTCATTCCGTGATCGTACTTAAATACAACCTTCTGTTGTGTTGAAGCCTTTGAATAGCTTATTCCTGAAATAAATACATAAAAAATTAACGAACCAAGCCTAAATCGAAAAAGATTGGTACTACACCGTATATATATATATATATATATATATGACTACACGACTCGGCATTCATAAATCTGTCTTAAGAGCTGTGCTGAACCTTTGTTGAACAAAGTAGTGCGGTTCAACCAAGCTATAGTGTCAAATATGGTGTGGCTATACTTAGTTCTACTACTACTTCTATACTTAGTTAGTTCTAGATAAATCGTGCAATATGAATATTTCTAGAGTAAAAACTGCGCCTGGGCAAGGCACGCTAAGTAATCGCTAATTGCTTTGGACAACACTTCCTAATGCACAACAAATGGCCATAAAGCCTTCATTAATTATTGGTAAAAACACACCAGACATGTGCCAGCGCCTTAACTATCGAACGACCCGTCTAGTAAATAGAGGGCACATCATTTGCTTAACTCGAAAATAACTTTGACAGCCTTTGCTTCTCTGACTGATATTTGCTGTATGGTACTTTAACATTAGGCTGCACATCTCGAATAAAAAGCAATTGCAAATATCAACATGGGCCCTTGCGCGATTGAGAGTTACCCGGCCGAAACTGCCGGTCAACGTCGCAGTCCTACAATGTTGCGCTAGTGCTCATCGTAGTAAGGTGCATTTTAGTTATTGTTTTTAATTTGCGTGTATCTCCCGGAAAGTTTATAGCAATACCTATATATGGTTGCTGTTATGTCACTGGTGCTGCTCCAATGAGCGCTCAGAGGTTGCTTTAAATAAGATTTCTGGTAAAGCAACATCAGTTATTGATGAAAATGGAACGATGGATACAAAATTTCGAACAATGGAGCTCCAAAATGATTATGACGAGCGTACAGTATCACTAGCATAACAATCAGTAAAATAAGTGACTATCTGGGCTTATAAGTTAAAGTAATTGGTTTTTGTAGCCAATAATTAATTTTAATTCATGACTGGAATGCTATACCGCTCCGTCAACTTTAGTTGTAGGATATTATTAATAAGAATAATGAAGTGACCATTTTCAAAATGTACGTAATACAATTCAACGTAATTCTTGAGGAGCTACTTTTGGTTCCAGCAAGGCCAACAATGCATATATATATATATATATATATATATATATATATATATATATATATATTTAGAGCTGCCAGCTGCATTTACTTATACGCACTACCACGTACCCGCCTATTGTAATTGCATGCAATCCTGTCTTTGTAACGGCACAGCTGATCAACGGATCCGAAGGCGCGCATTTCTACATAACACAGATTGTTTTTTGGTTGGTTCACCTTGAGTTGAGAGTCTCGGCTGACCTCTAGTTCAAACCAGAATATGAAAACCTGCTTAATTTTGCATCGACCTACTTATCGGAGATATTTCCTTACAGTCGTTTAACAGCCCGCTACCCGTAATGCTATCTTATTTGTACTGTCGTCCGTACCTAAAACTTTTTCCCGCTGTGTTGTTGACGGCGGTGGCGTGTGTTTGCGGCGCCGATGAGTATAATTTCCGAACCGACCTCGTGGTCACCGAGTTGATGCGCGAAGCACCGTCGAAACCCCCTGCCGTCAAGCAACCTGATACTTTTCGAGTGAACAGACCAGCCGGAGATATGACTCCCGACTGCATTTTTCCCACACAGCTTGTACAGAAAAAGCAATAGCAGGCTCAGCAATCCACCACTACCGGCACTACGGATCTCGCGGAACGTTGTAGCACACTTCCGTACTAGACATTTACACAGGCATACACAGTTTCATGAAAAGAGATTATCCTGGCTTATTTTGTTTTCGTGGCGCTAACAACGTAGATCGTACTGCTCGTCGATCCTATGGCGTACTTAACTAATGTAAGAAACGAAGGGGTTCACGGCAGAGGGAACATGGACAGACATCCACTAACAATAGTAGAAACTGAATTAATTGACAAACAACCAAATTCTAAGCGACTACAGGCAAAACACTTGAAATATTCATGGAACTAATTATTCCACACGCGCATTCGACTCCGAGATTGGAGAGTTTGCGGAAAGGTAATACCTTTCGGGCACTAGCTTCTTTCATGTAGCCTCGTTTCTCGCTGTGATACCAGTGCGATACTGGTACGATTGATAAACGCTGACGCCAAACGACCCGCTAGCGAACACCTCTCAGTAAAACCGCCGTTGACGGATGAAGTAAGGCTGGACGATGAAGCTGACCCACAGTTACCAAAAACAATACCACATTTTCCGCGTTTGGTTAGTTGTTTTGGCTGTTCAGCGTAAGAGGTAAACAGTACGAACTTTGACCAGGGAAGGTTTACTGGCGTCTGTGACGGTTGGCTTAGCTCTGCAGTTGCCTGCTCATCGGTATCATTATTAATTTTCGAACTATTATACAATGCAATGCGTGCTCTGTCTTTAGAGAAGGAGCGATACGTCCAACTCGACCACTAACAATCCCACATGCGATCGACGGTGTCGCGCTGAGTAGAATTATGACCATCACTCGAAACTACTGAAGGGCGAACAGACGGTTCTATATCACGCAGATGTCCGCTAGTTTAGCGGAGCTATCGAATTGCCTCGATAGAACGTGAACAGATCGTGGCGAGGCGCCCGACCCAGCGGTCTGACTGGAGCTCAACCACACCGATGCAGAGGCGAGTTTTGACAGTAGGGCGCCACTCTGCGCGATCCTTGATGCCGGGTGCGCGAAACAGCCGATGCCACCTGTGCGTGTGTCTATCTTTGTATTTACGAAAAAAAAACACTGTACCATTTAATCTTGTCAAATCGAATATATGATTTTTGCTTCGAATGTGATTTGTTTTTGGTCTGTAAAGGAAGGAAAAAAGTAAGGTAAGAGCTGAAAAGCTTTAGTCAAATGCACTAATGATGCACGTGAAAAGAGTTACCTAATCAGAAGTGTTGGTCTAACCAGATATTCCCGTATGACTACTCAACATTGTTATCTTTGTTGATCTTAATTCATGTAAACATGCTATCTCTAAATATCTACATTCATCTACTGGGTGAATCGACTACCGAATAATTCATTTTACTCACGTTAGTTGATGTGTAACAATGTATGTATCAAAAATAGACTCCTCCCACTTCATTTTCTAGACCTTAATACCTTAAAATCGTACTTCCCTGCATTTGCTTATAATTGATGACATTCATTAAGTCAACACCGTAATCGGCAACAGTGACCACCCGCACGCCCTCAATTCCCACATACGTCGTGGCCCCATTCTCCAAAAACCTTCTCAGAAGTCCTCCTGCTCCCCTGCTTCGTTCCCCTGTGCAATCGAAACAACCACCTACCTCTTGCGGCGTTCGCATATCTTCTATAATTTACCCTGTGCTTTTGACTGCGCGCGCGTTCAACCACTTACATTAGACAATCGGCAGATAAAACAGAGTATAAGGGAATCGTATCCAGTTTATTTATGCTGCGGCAGTATATTGGACAGTGGGTTAAGTGATCTGCCTAGACCCAATTTGATTGGCTTTTCCATTTTGCCACCTATCGACACTAGTTTGGTTGTATTGGCATCAGTTGTTTTTGTAGCCCCCGGCCGAGGACGGAAAGGTCCAACTGCAGCGGTTCTTTTTGTCTGTGATCGAGTCTCTTTCCTGGCGGCAGCGCCCGCTAAATTGGCGGAATACAAAGAAAAACAGCTGAAGAGGTCAGAGGGCCCCTATGTGTTTTTACCGGATTGAGGGAGATGATTGCTTTGGTGACTCTCCATTGACTGCTAACTGGCTGACTGCTGTTGTGAGTGAGACAGTGCAGGGTAAATCAGGTGAGTGGGTTTTTGTCCATTGGCATAGCCATAGATATTGTTGTTCGTGACGGCCGCTCGCTTATGTTGCCTGACGATTATGGCCGACTCGCGCTCCCAGTGCACGTCGAAGATGTACACACATTTGCTAGTTCGTCCATTAACTAACTGAACGTCTTCCTGACCGCGACAAGTGATGCCATCCGGCCGGCAAACGGGCAAAACCCTGACGCCGGCTTTAGAGTCCTGTTTTTTTTTACTCGTGAGACGATTTCAATAGCAGGGACAAATATGACCAGTGATACCAGCAGTGTTCCTATAAAGCGCAGATGGCGTCTCACCAATAAGTCACCTCCAGCAACAATCAAGCAAGAACCAACTGCCAATAGATTAAATGACGAGCCGACCGATCTGCCGTAAATCGTTGTCAATAAATCGAGCAAGTAGCGGCAGGCCAGTTAAGAGAATAGCTACGAATCAAACTGCCAACCAAGTAACATCAACAGCAAGTACTGCGAGTTGTTATCAGCACGGAAAGTCAGTGTGTGTCAGTGCTACTGGCGCGTGAGTGTCTATATGTCTGTGTGTTGTACCAGTACTATATTTGCACCACAGCAATTGCTAACTAACCGGGAGGTAAAGAGACAGGCAGTAAATGATTGCCGGGCTATAGCCGTGCTGGTCGTTTACCGCTTTCAAGTTGGACGACCGCAAGCTGAATCCTCACTAAAAAATATCGTTCGAGGCTAATTGCAGTAGCCACAGTAGCAGCAGCGGCAGCATTTGACCATAGTGAGATTGATGAGTTGATACCGGGCGACCAGCACCAGTACACAATACGAATTGTCAGACGAAGAGGAGCGTGCAGGTGGTTCAGGGATTGTACCTACTCAGTATATTAGCAGAGGTATTTTACGATACAGGATTCTGTGAGCGTATACATGCACAGGATTCGTAATAGCATACGGTAGGTAAAATCGGTGAAGGAAGAACTCTCGATAGAGCTTCTGCTAAGAGTACATGATTCTGATTGTTGGGAAGTACAACGTTGCTGATTTGAGATAAATACCTGCTCTGTTCTGGTCCATATCTTCCTGTTGAACGCTTCTGAATAAAAGTCAAAATTTACCGCAGCTGCCATAAAACGTGAGAATGCGCGAGAAGGCAGTCCGTAATCTGAGATTATTTCGCCTAAGACTTAACGGTAAATCGTTGATGTGTAATATATATCTTTATTAATGCGCCACAAAGCGAGAAAGATACGTGACTCGGGAATATTTTACTTGAGTGGATGGAAACTGGGGAAAACTTACCACCTATGCCAATCCATCTAAACCTGTCATAACGTGATATATCGGTATGTACCGCGCACATGTGTTATACTTTTATATACGAGGTACTTCCGTACCAAAGGACCAAACAGAGATTTTCGATTGTTTGTTATTTTCTAGATTTCCTTGATACACTCGGAAATCTGACGAAATATATGGAGCATTTCGTGAGGTAAATATCCTAAAAGTTGTTAATATAAACGTATGGAGAAGGCATTTTGATTAAAAGTATTTACGTCTTCCTTTTTCGATTTCCAAATATGTACACTTAACATTGATGCCGATGATAATCTGACGGTATGTCTCGCATTAAATGCAACGATAACATTCCAAAAATTGGCTATAATATAGTGGACTGATGTAAGTTTAACGTTTTCCGTGCAAAAATGTTACTCTCGTTAAACTCAGCTCTAAATTAAATTTCAGTTTACTAATAAGTGCAGCACAAAAAATAACTAATTATATTATACTGTTATTCTCCATATAACAAAAAAAAGTCAGTGAACTTGATTTTGGCCAAGGTAGGCTTACTCTGTGCATAAAGCGATACACACACACACAATATATATATTAATGTTGAAATGGATAAAGCGGCTTTCACCAGGTTCAGTTAGCCAAACTGGGATGCCGCTGTTGCAAATACCTCTGATAATGATTCCTTCGGCGCTGATGGCTATATTGATATCCATACAGAACGAAATCAAGCAACTCGCCGGCAGTGGCCAAGATCGTCGTTATTTTGTTGGCTCACTCGTTTAGCTTTTTTTGCAGGAAAGACGCAGTAGTAGAGAGTATTGACTTTCTACTGATACCTATGGCTATATATGTAATTTTGCTATGGTTGGAATAGCCAATCATAACGGTCGTTACAAAAAAAATTGCAAGCGGAGGCCAATGCCGATATTGTTTCGTGTTGTCTCACGGGAAGTAGGGACACCCTTGCATGCCTGAACTCACGCATACGCACATCACGTTCGGTGATGTCATGGTCACTGTAGCCTAAAGTGTGTCTATGTACTGTTATGACTCTTTGTTTCTTCGAGGGTCACTGACTAAAATTTTAATATTTTGCGTGACGGTGATTGGCCTTGGTCTGCTTGTCTTTTTCGTTATATTTCGATGTTGTGTAATATTTGCTTAATGATACCGTTTGTGTAAAGGGTACCGACATCGATTATAGTTGAATTGATGCTAGATGTTCCCGGCGTACCTTAGAGGAAGCAGAAGAGGTTTTAATCTTTTCGGTGTCGTAGCTTCGATGAACTTCACCATGCGATCTGGCTACATGCCAAATAAATGGAGACAAATTTTGTTCTTGTATCTAAATCTAGCGTCGAGTGGCCTTTGCAATATTAGCAGTGGAGCAGACTGTCCTGCAGATGTACGCAGTGAATTGCTCAGAGCCGGTATAGGTCTTCATTCGAGTTAGAGGCTAAAGAGTATCATAGCAATCAATGACTTTCAGGTTCAGTTTGATCTGCCTGACCATTAGCGAGAGTAGGAAGACCGAAACTATTTTCTCTTGAGAATAAGGGTTTCCGTGAATAACTTTGCGCTTCGGCTTATTCAGTACGATCAGTAAATACAATCTGCGTATTGATTTTTAAAGCTGACGAAGTTTTGGCGCAAATACTGGTGTCGAAAAACAGCGAACAAGAGGTGGCAATCACCGGATCATTCTATTATTAACCAAAATCTATTTCCTATTATCGTAGGCTGTCTACGGGCTAGAGGATCAAGTGGACTCAAGTGTATGGTAACGTCTTAGATTTTATGGACGGTTACTTATTGAAGGAAAAAAACCAGAAGGTTAAGAACAGCCAGCGACCGAACCACTATTTCACTAAAAACCCACCGTAATCAAACAGTCAGTCGCCCGGGAAATTTCCATTCAATCTTGACCTAAAGTGGACGTTTAACATTCAAACTTGCATGTTGACTTTTGAAACACGTGCTGATCAGTTAATTGATTGTGACTCTATTTGTGAATGTCGGCATGTTCTTTATTCAACTAAAAGAATAAAAGATCACCTAGAGGTTAAAGACGGCAAATAAACATTTTAAAAGGCCGTACAAGTTCAAAGCTAGCAGTGCGAACTCTGGGGTATTTACACGTGTTAATTGCCGTGGTTGACTGGTGAGTGACGCAGAGGGAAAGTCCTGTGCGGTTTTGCTGTGAAACGTAAGCCACTGAGCTTTGGTTTTGTATCAGAAGCTTACCAGTTTGAATTAACACAACGCGGGAATGGAATGTTCCAAACGGAATAAAATTCAATGAGAGATGTGTAACCCTGTTTAGAGAAGAACTTGTCATCGAACGCTCCTAAAAGAGGCAAAGGTTTTCGGTCTGTTAAGTCAGAAACGGTCACTTCGAATTTCAGCCTATATTAAAAAATGATTTGTCAACGTTCTTAAGTTGAGCTAGGGTACTACATGAACCACTATTGGTTTCTAAAAACGGTAAGAAAAATCGTAAACAGTAACATATTTCGAAATGGGCTTACTTTTTGTATGGGTTTTTTTGCACAAAACATTGGAAACGGAACAAACCGTAACCCTCAATATCCTAGCATACAGCTGCGATCTAATAGCGGAACGATGAACTACTTCGAACTGTTTCATCAATGCCGCATTTCCTTGTAGCTAGTAACAATTCGATAAGCGCGTGAACTTTTTGTGAGCAAGGCATGGGGTATTTGTTGCACTTCTTTGAAAAACCACAATGGTCTGCCTGCACTGAGCCGTTTTCTGACAACGGCTGACACAAAACAATTGGACAAAATAGTTATATATATATATATATTTTTTTTTAATCATAATTGTAATTAAATTATATTAAGATTAATAATTATTTGAGTTATCTAAAACGTTATCTAAAATAAGAGGGAACGTTAGTTGACACTAATCGCCATTGGGCGTCTGGTTTCAGCTTAAACGGAGCCCATTATAAACAAAACCGAAACAACAGTCCAGTCAACCTGTGGGACGGGTCATAGTATGGTGAATTTATCTTGACATTTTTGTATCAAACGTATGATATCGTCAAGGCAGTATAGCACCAGTCTGTCTGCCAATTATTTAGTGGTTGGATTTCTTGTCTATAAGGGTATTACACTAATATTCAATGATGTCTAGTGCTCCGCTCATATAACCAGAAATGTATTGGTTTTTCAAATGCTAGTTCTATGTTTTTAGTTTGGTTACATTTCCTATAATTTTTAATCATCAAATTAGTCTTAGTGATTTATCCATTATCACTTCTGTTATGTTGCATCTATCAGCCAGCTTGCTAATGGGACCAACTTCTAACAGATTTGGAAAAAAATGCACAAAAATTTGTCATGAATGCATCTTACCAGATGTAAGAGTTCGGTTTATTCTATCCTTTTACGATAGCTCTCGTAATGAATATCTCGCTCAGGTTAAAGAACACGCACTTGCGGAAAAAAGACGGCATGTTTTTTTGACTTGCAGTTGGTCTACAGCCTCTACTATGTGCATGTTTAATCATAGATCTGGATCTAGACTAAAAGATATTACCACAAGAATTATCCAGGAGGGGGGTTAACGACATAATGTGCTTACCTCAGCCCGTCGCTGAAATTCGCTCACAATGCAAAGTGTCAACCCAAATGTCAGGTATACGACATGTTTTTGTCCATCGGTTATTAGCTATTCGGCCTATGGGTATTGCCGAATATAATTGGGTCTTCACCAACAGACTTTTGAAAACGCATGATAATAATATCACATATAAACCATTGCTTAGCGCTTACATTTGAACCAGCGACAAACGGATGTTCATGGTAACCACAGCAGCGTCCCAGATCATGCCGCTTCATGCCATAGGTAACATTTATTGAAATATCTGTATTTATTATAGCGATAGTTTAGAATTGAACGTAAACCTTGAGTATGACGCGACTCTTTCAAAGGAAGACCTTACTGTCTACATAATATTCTCAGTGTAGTTTCGAGCGCTTTCTTTTCTGTGGTGTTACAAACACGATGACATTGATGACAACGACGTTATTACAACTTATACGAATTGTGATCAAATTACATCATTGCTGCTTGTAGTGTTGCACAGTTGGAACAGATTTCCGATTTTCTATTAAATCTAGGTTCGTTTGATCAAATACCATTTCAGTTTACTGGTCAAATTTGAAATAGCGTAATGATCGCTTAGTTCAACTAGGCGCGCCTTGAGTGCGTAAGAATAAATACGGCACATAACGTGAACGGGCCAAAATTCCTAGGAATTCCGCCAGATGCTGTGAAATCAAACAACATTTAGTCTATTAATGATGAACGATATTTAATTATTGTATTTTAGTTCTTTATTGACGGCATGTGTTCTATTGGACAAGGCCTTGTATTGCGTTACTTTTGTAATGCTCTGTATATTCAATGTCTCATCGGTAAGGCACTTCTATTGATTTCATGTGTCCATTTCAAGTACATTGGATTTATTGGTATCGCGAAGGTTTTAATTGTTATACGCTGTAAATTGGATTGAGTGCCTAGGCCGATATGATTAAAATCATGTGATCAACGTCACAACGATAGAAATATAGAAAGCTTTGAGTCTCTTGCTTCGCCTTTTCTATGCTACCTATTGATTTACGACGGTAACGATTGCACGTGTATTAGGCGCTTAATTTTAGTTATTAATTCCTTGATATATTAATAACGGCAAAGAACGAGCAACGTGCAGACTAACAGCTGTGACCCGGTTAGGGTTCTGGAATCTGCCCGTTGCATTGATTTTCATGAGTAAGATTATCTAGTCTTTTATCATTATTACATCCTTCTATAATAATTTTTTCGCAGCTTACTGCTCAAAATATATTACTAAGGCATTCATGATGAGACTGATGGTGACTCTAAGAGCTTTTGTGATGTGCTTATTTTTCTTTCACGAAGTTTGCTTCTTAATGGCACTAGTTTCATATAGGACAATTGATTAGTTTTCGCGTAAATACATAACAAACATTTTATCATAACTATGAGTTGAAGGCGTAACAGCAAGAATTTCTTTTGTTGCATTATTGTTCGAAGCTTGTTGGTGAGCTGAGTGAATATAGCATCTCTCAGGTTGACGCAGTTGAATAAAATTTGCAGATGTTTTCTGCTATCTTACACCTAAAATTGGCTGCTTACAAAGGACAAAGCTATCTCACCGAAAGGAACCTTTGTACGTCAGGACGTCCATTATGCTGTTACTTAAGATTGGCAAGGTGTAACGCTTTGAGAAGGTTTTCAGCACCTCAATAGGCGCTTCGTTTATCTATTAAATCTATATTATATTATTATGTAGTATTATTACTTACGATAACATATCAGTTTCATGATATGTAATTGCTAGGAACTATTGTACTCAAACAATGTGTCATCAACTTAGCGTGCATTCTACTTAAAGCGGAGATCAAATTTTATTGGATTGTCGTTTTTTTTTTATTGGATTTTTGTAAGTTCGAATTTAAAAGGACACTACATGCGACGATTACTGTTTTTAGGACATTTAGTTCATAACTGTAATAGTATTTTGGGCACTTGTATTAAATCCCAAAGGTGTCCGTGTATATATATATTCGATAAGTGTGACTACACGCCGTAATCGTTCCGACTGCACTGATACCGATATTTTTTATTCAATCATTGATCTTGGTTACCTCGTTTGGTGGCATTAGAGGTCGATATGTCTCACAATCGAATGTACGTGACGATAGTTATAAGCAAACTGTTTGTATCAGATACATGTGCATATGCGAGGAACTTTAAAAACGAATAATTGCTAACCATTTGGCGAGCAAAGTGCGCTAAACAGAAGAACTGCGCCTAGAGTCACTCCGCGCTGGGTAAACAGATGTCTCGTTTCAAGGACGCCATCTGGTCCCTCTTCAGAGAGAAGAGCGCTCGACAATACTTTTGGCTTCTTTTGCATCACCTAGCTCCCTTCTTCTTTCGGTATCGTAAACAGTTTTGGCGGAGTCGCACTTTATAGTTTTCCCCACCTTGATCAAATGCTCTTCAGAAGATAAACAGATCTAGTGCAAACTGTGAGTTAACAATGTGTCACCTGCAATCCGTATTGATCAAGATCGCCTAGAAAGAAAAACAGTAACTAATGCCTATTGCCATCCTTCATTTACTGCATGGTCTTCAATACATTCGATCGGAACGGCTAAGATCGGCCGTATAGTAGTTGACCACAGCAGTGGGTAAGGCGATAGAAAACAAACGTGTCAGTCTCATGCGACGGACCCTGACCTAAGTGACTAAAAAATGTCTCCACTAAATTAGTACGGACATCATGTAATAGAATAACGATGAGATGTGTTGGCTTCCACTGAGAATAGGTGGGCTCTGATTTCGGTGGATCGAATCAGTTATGTTTTAGCAACAGAGTTGCTTAATTATTACGATATCCATCACATGATTTAGTTATGATGTGGACTGACTTGTATTTACAGTTTCTCGCAGTATAGCTGATTGCTATATGTCTATTAAATAAAACACCTAGATCTTGTTATGATACGTTAAAGACAATTAAAAAATGCATATACATAGGGTCCGTTAAAAAATGTCCTACGTAAGGGCGGGCTGGTATTGAATTTTTTATTTGAATTTTATGCTAATCTCAGTTAATGTACCAGCCAATATTCAATGAATTTGCGGCTACGCTAGCTTTTCTGCCACAAAACGTAGTAGACTTATTGATGACTACGGTCTATTGCTTTTGACTATATAGAGTCAACGTTTTTGCGAAATATGTTTAATCAAGAACATAATGGTATAGCCAAATCAACGTAATTAGAATGAAGAAAACTATACTAATGATAGAGAAATAATACGAAGTGAGGATTCCGCTAAATGGGTCTACAACAGCTGCAAGACCTCTTTAAGGCATCTAGAAAACGAGAGCTTTTCGAATCGTAGCCTTAGTCTGTAAGATTTGTTGAAAGTATACTCATATATTCGTATTATATCTATAGTATATTAAAGATATTCTATAGTATATTAAAGGTATTCGCTTTCTCTATGCATATGTGAGATTCGCGGCTGTGATCGCCAATTACAGTGTGCAAGGAATAATTTGCTCAAAAAACTAATCCTTAGAGCGACGACACATCTGTAAACGTCTAAGACTTATAAAACAAGCTATATTCATATAGTTCTGATAGGCAGCCAGTTACGGGCTTGTTCACACACTTTCTAATCAAAGGCGGATACGAAGACGGCGTTTGTGTGCCTGAATGACGCGATCAGTAAAATCGATTAGCAAACTTTCTACGAAGTCTGCTTGTAATCGCCTGGTTGTTGTTTGTGGAAATATATTCAGCTTTAATTAGAAACATTCGTCTGTTATCTAACGTGGCTTTGTGCTTCTACACGGTGCACCTGTCCCACCCATCATAAAGATAGAGGGGTATCGGAGCAGTGCATCATATGATAGTAAATAGAAACAACTTTTTTCGAAATATATGGAAAAAAAAAATAAAACAACACCAGGCGCAAGAATTACAAATATTATTTCCGCTAAAATCAGAACTCCAAATTATCTAGAAGAGCCAGATGAAGAAAGTGGTTGACGGTAGAACAGATGTTCTACTAACGAGACCCATAAACGAGTACTTAAGCTAAGGTTGTGAAACTCGTTAATTAGAATTATAAGGATTGCTCGACAAGTAGTTTTTTTTTTTGGGGGGGGGGGTAAGGTCAGACTACGTCGTTGCTATTATTCCAATGGCTCGATCGGATAAACCCGCAGTTCGTCGAAAATGCACAAAATCAATTAGTTACATGAGCCGGTTTCGCCCTACAATTATATCTAGGTAGGTAATTCTCCATGTTTATCTAACGAGCAGTATACATTCACTACGTTACATACCATATTTAGTATACCTTCGTATTCAATCATTTCGAAACAAGCGATTCTAGGGCACACTTCACTTGATAGAGCAGTTCCATCTGCGGTCACCTGATTTGAGCCCTCCGGTATGACGGAATAACTAATACCAATGATATCCTTGAGCTCACATTTAAGCAAAATTTAGCAGAATATTTCGCACAGAAAAATTTTCCTGGGACGTCGTAAACTTGGACGGCGTCAGTTTCAGGGACCTATCCTTAACACTGGTGAGGTGAAGCGAATCGGCTATACTCGAGAAGACTGTATCAAGTGATGAGCTATATCCATATTATAGAGCCATCGTTCGCTCGCTGCCATAACTGGCGGACATTGTCAACCAGGCTGATTTGTTTTTTTTAACTGTCTCTGACTTGGTTTTGAGACTCAAAGACAAACCTCCTGAAAAAGAGAATTATCGAGAAACAACCGCAAATTGAGCCCATAAAACCACATCGATAGAAAAACAGTAACTCAAAGCTGTCTGAGAGTCACTACCAGCGAACTCGACGGTTAAGTGGTATAGATTGCGGAAGTGCCCTATAGGACGCCCACGCAGATTATGGTAAGTCTGTTTTTTGTAGGGATCGCTGTTGCTACTATTCGTGGAGGAAAGGGCAAGCCTTTAAAACTGTGTCATACCTGCCGTATCCATCTGTATGCTATAGAGACACAATCTCTCTATAATGATACAGTGGTCACCAGTTTGCCTACTGAACTTAGGGTGAACGTGAGGTGTTGTACGTTCAAAGCCGGGTGTAAACACGCTTTGTCTCGAGCTGGAAAGAGCCAGGCGTGGTAGTCTATTTCATAGCATTACAGTGTAGTTCAACTATGCCAATATTAAAGGCTTTTTAAGAACACATAATGCACAAAGTTTGAGTCAAAGAATATTTTGTACAGTTTAAGACGTCATTTCCATATCCCCTTTTCGCTCCTTCACTCCTCTTTAATATTATCTTCCCGCGTTTGTCTTTCATCTTCACCTCTAGGTGAATAGCCTGCTGTGGCGTGTTTTCGGAGGCCCTTGCAAAGAGGAGCCGACCGACGCGCATCCATCGCTCGTCGTGGTACCACCAGCTCGCCATCCGGACGCCGCCGAACATCACCGTCATAACCCTGTTGTCGTTGGTGTGCCTCATTCTGGACACAACCCGTTTGAGTATCTCCCTCTTTCGCTATCTTTTCCTTTAACAATTTCAGCTGACTCCACAACAATTGGAACAGCAACAACAACGGTTACGGCACATCTTGGACTTTTGGACACTGCAGATTCCGTCCCTTCTTTACCTACACCAGCGTTACTGCCTACTGCACAGTCCGCCGATTTCAAAGGCAGCAGTAGCAGTCTGATCTCGTGCGCGAATGCTCCAGCATCCCTGACTCCGACGACGCTTGCCATTCCAATCACACCCGCGGCTCCGTTAACGCCTGTGAGCTCGGCAGGCAGCGCGGTCAGTCCCCAGAGTCCACTCAGACTTCCATCATCAGTTGTGCCTTGCACTTCTTCGGCGCTGTGTGCTTTTACTTCTATTGTAACCGGTCGACATTCTCAGTTTTTTCCTCCGCCTGCGTTACTTTCGACTCTCTGCGGTGCTCCACCCCGATCGAGTGCGATTGGAGTTCACATCGGAGCACCGGCATCTTGCTGTTTTCTACCTCGCAGCCGGCCGCTAGCTGTGGGGCTCATGGACGCCCCTGCCAGCGCCGCTCATATTTGCGCTGAGCTATACAATCCGACGCAACAAACGTTTACGACCGACGTTATAGATGGCATTAGCCAGAGCCGCCCCAACAACGGGAACATGGGTGGACAGCAAATTAGAACAGGGGTAGGCGGTCTGAATTCCGCAGGTGACGGTGTCGGCGACAGCCACGAAAGCAGCCGTCACCATCAGCATCATCATACCCATGATACTCGAAATCATAGTCATCTATCAGGGATTAGCGAAAATTCTGTGACCTCTGCAACGGAAAACAAAGCGACGCTAGCTGGAAGCAATGAGGCCAACAATGGATACGCTATCGTAAAGGTACTTGCAGTAAATTATACAATTGAGGGTATGCAGCTGGTGTGCGTCGATAAACACAGACTAGCGAATATTAGATGTCTGAGGTATGTTATATAACTAAAATTTGTAATGCCACTTATCATTAAATGGTCAACTAACAGTGCTAACGGTAAAGAACTTGATTATTTCAACCGATACATGATTTCGCCCTGGCCAATTCTGATGTTTCAGCCTGTCACCGTCCTGACAAATCTGCAACGTGGCAACGTACCAACACAAGCACCAGTGACACTTATACGTAAGCATGATACTTTTGATACTCTACAAACACGTTTATATTTGAAACATTTGCTATTGTCAAACGTTTAGCAGTACACTACTGTAAAACGCATGTGTTGCTTTGTCGACAGCTACACTCTGATAGGAAATGTATACAAAACGTCGAAATTATTCTTCGAGATTCTCACATAACCACTTTTATTAAGTTCAGCTAAGTGTTCATGACACGAATAGATTCATTTCTCGAATAATTGAAGAATTTAGTATTAGTTAGTATTTTCGTTAACTTTTGGCAAAGTGAAATGCAGGCTTAGAAATGGATTTTAAGCGGATGCGAATCTTAACCGAGAAATTAGCTAAACAGTTTTTTGCGCTGAACTTCTGTGGATCAGAAACCGGAAGCTTAATTGAAGTCACTGCTTGTTATTTTAACGGGTGTTCTTTTAGTGCGATGCATCCATCAATTGGTAGCTCAGGGAGATCTGCCTAAAGAGCCGTTTGGTAAGTAAAGGAAATATTTAGATTCCGTTTAGACAAGTCCATTTACATTGGACAAGAATTTTTCAATCCATTTTTTTCGTTGCACTTATTTCTAAGTGATGTCTGTCAATGTAAAAAGGTATCACTTTTAAAACTTCAACGTTTAGCTTTCGAATTAATATCGGCGCCCCTTGGTCTATGCGGGACAACATGCTTTATTTACTGTGCTTTATCAACCCGCCAAAGATTGATCTCGAATCTTGGCACACTCTACATAAAAGTTTGCGATATTCAGATATTCTAATCTGGTCGTACATGTGGTCGGTCTTCGACTACTCACATTGAAAAGACTTAAATAGACACTTGTATTTCATAAAATTTGTCGCACAAACATTCATATTATATCCAGACCATTACGCCTTTAAATACCTCCCTTTTCTAAAGAAGCTTTCCAATTCTAACACTGCAGCGGAGCGCCGCGTCGATCTGCAAGATAGTGAAGGTCTGACTCCACTCATGTGGGCTTCATTCCACGGCCAAATTTTAGCTGTGCGCCGACTTCTCGCGCAGGGCGCTGCCGTAAACGCCCGAGCACCTTTAGGGCAAAGCGCTCTTTTGTACGCTGCACATCGGGGGCATGCGGCCGTCGTACGGGAGCTCCTCATACATGGGGCAGATGTTAATCAGTCGGATTCGGTAACTACAGAATGCACCGGAATATTTTCTGTGTAGGAAGTTCGCAGTTTTTCAAAATAATCGACAAACTACTGATCTTGAACTCTTATTCACTTTTAGTGATAGTGGCGAAGTACTAAAATGCGTATCGAGTTTGTCAAATTGATAGATATATATTCTTTAAATTGTCAAATAACATTTTGCTATATAT